TAGCCGCAGAAGCCGTAGCAGCAAGCAGCAGAGCAGTGCAGCAGCAGCAGCAGATTAGGCAGCAGCAGGAGCAGCAGCAAGCCAGCAGTTCTAGCAGCGAGCCTGCAGTTGCAGCGCAGTCAGTAGCAAGCAGCAGCTGCAGTAGCAGTAGGCAGTAGCAGCAGTAGCGCAGCAGCAGCAGTAGCAGCAGAGTAGCAGTAGCAGCAGCAGTAGCAGCAGCAGCAGCTGCAGTTAGCTGCGCAGCAGCTGTGCTGCAGCAGTAGTAGCAGCAGCAAGCAGTAGCTGTAGCAGTCCAGCAGTAGCAGCAGTTAGCAGCAGCAGAAGCAGTAGTAGCAGCAGTAGCAGCAGGCAGCTGCAGCAGTTGCAGCAGAAGCAGCATTTAGCAGCAGCAGTTAGCAGCATGGCCAGCAGCTGTAGCAGCAGCGCAGCAGTAGCAGCAGCAGTAGCAGCCAGCAGCAGCAGAGTAGCAGTAGCAGTAGCAGCCAGTCAGCAGCCAGGCTGCAGAGTAGCAGCAGCAGTAGCAGTTGCAGCAGTGCAGCAGCAGCAGCAAGCAGTAGCAGCAGCTGCTGCAGTAGCTGCAAGCAGTAGCAGCAGCAGCAGGTAGCTGCCTGCAGCAGTAGCAGCGCAGCAGCAGTAGCTGCAGCAGAAGAAGACGTATCATCAACTATAAACTAAAATATCGAAAAAATTCTAAAACATTTTAAAACGCCAAAAACTCAGCACAAGTTCCACAATATTCCTTAACAACAAAATATAAAACAGGAGAATTTTTCGACAATTGGTCCAGACTTTTAAAAACAAAAAGTCCATATGAAAACATAGAGAGTTTTTTGAGTCGACTGAATAAAATGGGCGTAGTTGTGTTATGAAATGGTGGGAGGATCGTTTAGGGGGGCCTAGACTCGTTAATCTTACTCAATGTTCAATTAGAGATCGTTAATACCCTGGAAGAGTTTGCCCACGATGGTTCGTTCAGGGGTTTTGTGACTTACCATGGTTGTCGTTCATGGGTTTTTGTGACCTCCCATGGTGGCGTTCATGGGTTTGTGACTACCATGGTTGTCGTTCAATGGGTTTGTGAACTTACCATGGTGTCGTTCATGGGGTTTGTGACTACCATGGTTGTCGATCATGGGTTTGTGACTACCATTGGTGTCGTCATGGGTTTGTGACTACCATGGTGTCGTTCAGGGTTTCAGAACGTGATACCTTGGTGTCGTTCATGGGTTTGTGGACTACCATGGTGTGTTCATGGGTTTGTGAATACATGGTGTCGTTCATGGGTTTTGAGAAAATACAAATGGTGTCGTTCATGGGTTTGTGACCACCATGGTGTTGTTTCATGGGTTTGTGACTACACCATGTGTTCGTTCATGGGTTTTGTGACCACCATGGTGTTGTTCATGTGTTTGTGACCACCATGGTGTCGTTCATGGGTTTGTGACTACCATGGTGTTGTTCATGGGTTTGTGACCACCATGGTGTCGTTCATGGGTTTGTGACCACCATGGTGTCGTTCATGGGTTTGTGACCACCATGGTGTCGTTCATGGGTTTGTGACCACCATGGTGTCGTTCATGGGTTTGTGACTACCATGGTGTCGTTCATGGGTTTGTGACCACCATGGTGTCGTTCATGGGTTTGTGACTACCATGGTGTCGTTCATGGGTTTGTGACTACCATGGTGTCGTTCATGGGTTAGTACATAGGTGTGAATCATGGGTCGTGAGTGCTGCAGAGAGGAGGCTGGAGGCAGTGGAGATGTCATGTCTGTTAGCTGGGTTGGTAGCGCACTCAGCTCACACACTGAGGACCGGGGATCGATCCCCGGTACGGGTGGTAACATTAGGACGTGTTTCCTTAAGACACCTGCTGTCCTTGTTCACCTAGCAGTAAAATAGGTACCTGGGTGTTAGTTAGCTGATACTCACCTAGTTGTGGTTGCAGAGGTCGAGTCACAGCTCCTGGCCCTGTCCATGACCAGGTCTCGTGGTGGATCAGGACCTGATCAACCAGGCTGTTACTGCTGGCCACACGTAAGCCGACGTACGAACCATAGCCCGACTGGTCAGGTACTGACTTTAGGAGTCAGTTCAGCGCCTTCTTGAAGCCTACCAGACTGTATGCTGGAAGGCAGATGAACAGTCTTGTGCCCCTTACACTTTTTGTGTTGTCTTGATTAGGGGAATGTTGCATCTCCTGTCCAGTCTTTTCCTTTCATAGGGAGTGATTTTCGCTGCAGATCTGAGACTAGTCCCTCTAGGATATTCCAAGTGTATATTATCATGTATCTCTCTCGCCTGCATTCCAGGGAATACAAATCAAGGAACTTCAACCGTTCCCAGTAATTTAGGTGCTTTATCGTACTTATGTGTGCCGTGAAAGTTCTCTCTACATTCTCAAGGTCAGCAATTTCGCCTACCTTGAAGGTGGCCGTTAATGTACAGCAGTGTTCCAGCCTAGATGGAACAAGTGATCTGATAAGAATCATCATGACCTGGCATCCTGGGGACAACCTTGACCTAATTTGCAGGAAATACTCAGCATAACAAGGGGTTTTCTATATAGTAGTATGTCATTGATGTCAGCTATGGTCTGTATACCTTGTACATGTACTGGTAATAAATAAAGATATATTATTATTATTATTATTATTATTATTATTATTATTATTATTATTATTATTATTATTATTATTATTATTAAGTGTGGAGTAAATGATATGTAGATAATTCGTAGTATGGAAACTAGGAGGTCTTATAGAAAATAATTTCCCAAAATTATGCCGTGTAGATAAATGTGATTAATACGTTACTATTGTTGTGTTGAGTGTATATTAAATAAGAGAACCAACAAGGGAAGGTTTGTGCCTGTGCTGAGGATCAGGGAGGACACGGCATTGTTTCTAATATGTTACAAGCACTCTGATGCTAATGTGCTGAATGTTCGTCACTCTAGGGGTTATATTGGGCTTAAAACCTCTCAAATAGGAGCCGAAATTGTTGAATGTGCATTCCTGCATAATTTGAGTATTAAACAGATGTATAGGACAGCTCCAGGAACCTCAGATAAGCTATCTAAATTATGTTTGTAATTCTGGCCAGTGTTATTATCATAAATTTAGTTAGAGGGAGGTTCTGTACATGACACACAGTAACCTCCAGACTAATTGGTGAGTGCTATGATTATAAATTCTCCTTCTGTTATATAAATGTGTATAAGTAATCATTTATTAATTTTAATATAGTCCACAAATTTATATTAAACTTTACCAGAATTCCTGGTGATGTACATTTCATTTGCAATTAATACAGGTCTAGAGCAACTTGTGGAGAGATGGATTATGGTAGGTATCGAAGGGGACATTTTTTTTATTTTTTTGCGACCTAGGTGTCCTAAAAATTCCTTCTTGTCTCTGTAACTTTGATAAATAATAATTATCTTTGTTACCATTTACTGGTATGTATCTAATGAGATTCATCCAGGTAAATGTAATTTTCCACAGGTTTGGGGTTATTAAAAGTATTATTCAGAGGGTTGAAGAGAGGTTATTGACTTGGAAGGTGTATAAATCTGTAGTGGAGGGGAGGAGGGGTAGGGGTCGTCCTGGAGAAGGTTGGAGGGAGGGGGTAAAGGAGGTTTTGTGGGCGAGGGGCTTGGACTTCCAGCAAACGTGCGTGAACGTGTTAGAGAGGAGTGAATGGAGACGAATGGTTTTTGGGACTTGACGAGCTGTTAACCGGACTTGAGTCCTGGAGGTGGGAAGTACAATACCAGCACTTTAAAGGAGGGGTTTGAGATACTGGCAGTTTGGAGGGATACCTAAAACACTGATTATGTATGAATGATGACGAAATTTTTTTCTTTTTCGAGACGGCCAGCGTATATATAATATATATATATATATATATATATATATATATATATATATATATATATATATATATATATATATATATATATAATATATATATATATATATATATATATATATATATATATATATCGTGCCAAATAGGTAAAACTGGTCTATTAAAGATATATATTTTTTTTAATTTATGCTAATGCAAAAGATAATAATTTTGTACCAAAAGAACCTTAGGAAACTTACCTAACCTTATTATAACAAGCTCAATTTAATTTACTCTAATCCAACTAAATATATTGTAGATAATTTTACAATAACTTAATAATAAACAATCACAATGAAATATATATTTTTTCGTTAGGTTCAGAATGATTTTTGGGAAATTATTGCATACACAAATTTTCGCTTGCCTTATCCAGCAAGAAGAGCGTTGCTATTTAAACCAAAATCGCAAGTTTTACCTATTCGGCACAACATTTATGTATATATGTTTGTATATATTTAATGTATGTATGCATTTAATGTATGAATGTATGTATACATGTATGTCAACATGTATCAGTCACGTTCACCTTTGTCAACTCAACGTCACAGTAAACAATGTTTATGTTATTATTAAGGATGTTAATCGATAATTGTGAATATAAAGTGGGTAGCCTAAAGCAGAATCTTCATATTAACTTTGTAGATGATTATCATATCTCCTGAGTCAACAATGTTATCTAGTAAGATAAAATAATGAGAACTGGGCCGCCTCGGGAAGTGATTCCGGAAATGTGGCAGGATTGGTAACCTTACTCCTTGCCACGTTTATAATAAAAACAAAATTAATTTCTTAAAAAATAAAATTTCGAGAGATGGTGTGGTTTATGTAGAGGTATTATATAATTATATAATAACTGCAATATCTTTAGTTTAATTAGAGGGGAGAAAAGGGAAAAACAGTTGGTTGGAAGGAGGAAGTGTGGCATTATTGCCGCCTCAGCTGAGCATCTGTCGCCGCCTCAGCTGCGTTGCTAAAGATAAAATAAAAACAAAAATAATTTCCCAATGTATGATATCCTGAGCCATAATATAACTTACTTCAAAGTGATATAGAATCCAGAAATAAGTAAAATGTATTAAGTTTAAAAGTAATGGAAAGAAGGGTAAAATAGTTGGTTTGAGGGAGGATGTGTGGCACCGTTGCTCGTCACAGCTGAGCTTGTGTCGCCAGTTATGTTGATCAGTCATACGAAGCTCACCTCTGAATTAACATGTAATTAACATCTCTCCTTGATGAAGGTACGTCTCCACAAGACCAAACTTCCCTCTAACATGCACTCTCAAGCCCCTACCTAGCCAGGAGCGGAGACTCGACCCGTGCACCCACACACAGGTAAGCACAAGTCAAAATTTTGGCTGGACGAGGCCCCAGGTGGGCATTTAATGCCCCAAAAAACCCCATCACTGATCTATACATAGAAGTCATGCACAAGTTAACACAACTCTGCATGTACGTGACCTTCATTACCTGGATATTATCATGGATATGTCTCACTCTGGACTTTTTAATAAGACGGAGGTACTAGTCTTCCCATCCTTGGTATATATGGATACTCTGGTAAGTTTGGATAATAGTTATCCATAATCTGTAATGTATATTAACAATTACTGTGGGTAAAACTATGTTGTATATTGTGAGTTATCCGAGGTTAAATATATAGGTTAAGTCTTATAATGTTTGATATTCAGTGTATATCTATGTTTGTCTATCTATCTATCTGTTTGTCTATCCATTGTCTATCAATCAATATTCATTATGTTTGTTTATTATTAAATCATTGCAAAATTATCTAAAATATATTTAGTTGGATTAGGCTAAATTAAATTACGCTTGTTATAATAAGGTTAGGTAAGTTTTCTAAGGTTCTTTTGGTACATAATTATTAATTTTTACATTAGCATAAATGAAAAAAATATATCTCAGAATGTATAAGACAAAATTTTAGAAAGGACTTAATTTTAAATGAGTTCTTGCTAATTGACCAGTTTTACCTATTTGGACATTTATATCCTATATACATGTATATTTATTTATGTATTCATTTGTTTATTATTTAAACATTGGCCATCTCCCACTGACTTCCCAGTCATTCCTTGTGAGCTCCCCACCATCCTTCTTCAGCCTGGTTACCTATTTCTTGTCTGTTGTTTGCCTCCTGATGTAGCTATATAACAAATTTGGGTTGGATTTGACTTTTAGTTCTGTGTCATTCTCAAATTGCCATTGAGCCTCCCTACTTATCCATGTACATGTACACTTGTTTCTGGCTGTTTGGTTCAGCTCCTTGTTTTCCTGAGTTCTTTGTCTTTTATACTTTTTCCATGATCTAGCACAATTAGCTTTGACCTCTCTGCACTTTGGTTTTCCCATTGTTTCTATAATTCCTGGGTACATACCTCTCCTCCACCCCTGCACAGTTTCTGGCCATGTGTTCCATTATCTCATTCACTCTAGTTCTCTTACCCACTGCACCTCATACAGGAATTGCCTCATACCTGTGTGGTCCTCTCTTTTAAAGTTTGGCTTCTCGCCTCCTTCCTGTGCTGCTTCATGCTCCGTTGTAAACTCCACAAGGTATTTGAAACTCAGGACCAGGTTTTTAGTGCAATGAGCCTTTTATATGTAATGTCCATGTTCATGAACTACTCAGGGTGAAAAAAGATCCACCTTGCTGGTTCATCCCCCCCTATCTCTGTCTCTGTCTCTCCTTCTGTCTCATCTTTGTCCTCTCCTTGTCTCTGTCTTTCTAAATGTCTTGCTCTCCTCCTCTCTCTCTGTCATCTCTGTTTCTCCGTTTTTCCCTCTTGTCTCTCTTCTCTAGCTGTCTTTTGTCCTATTCTCTCCTGTTCCTCTTGTTCTCTCTGCCTCTGTCTTCCTGTCTCTATCTGTCTCTCTCCTCTGCCATCTCCTCTGTCTCTCTGTCCTCTGTCTCTCTCTGTCTCAGTGTCTCCTGTCTCTCTCTGTCTGTCTCTCTCTCCTCTGTCTCTTCTCTGTTCTCTCTCTCTGTCTCTCTGTCTGTCTCTGTCTGCTTCTGTGTCTCTTCTGTCTGTCTCTGCTTGTCCTCTCTGTCTGTCCTCTGTCTCTCTCTCTGTCTCTGTCTCTCCTTCTCCTGTCTCTGTCTTCTCTCTCTGTCTCTCTCTCTCTGTCTCTCTGTCTCTCTCTGTCCTGTCTCTCTCTCTGCTCTCTCTCTTCGTCTCTTCTGTCTCTCTCTCTCTCCTCTGTCTCTCTGTCCTGTCTCCTCTGTCTGTCTCTCGTCTCTCTGTTCTCTCTCTCTGTCTCTCTCTCTCTCTGTCTCTGTCTCTGTCTCTCTGTCTGTCTCTGTCTGTCCTGTTTTCTCTCTGTCTGTCTCTCTCTCTGTCTTCTCTGTCTTCTCTCTGTCTCTGTCTCTCTCGTCTCTGTCTCTCTGTCTCTCTGTCTCTCCTGTCTTGTCTCTCTGTCGTCTCTGTCTGTCTCTCTGTCCTTCTCTCTCTCTCTGTCTCTCTCTTCTTCTCTCTCTCTCTTCTCCTTCTCTCTCTGCTCTCTGTCTCTCTCTCTCTCTTCTCTCTCTCTCTCCTCTCTCTCTCTCTCTCCTCTCTCTCTCTTCTCTCTCCTCTCTCTCTCTCTCTTCTCCTCTCTTCTCTCTCTGTCTCTCTCTGTCTCTCTCTCTCTCTCTCTCTGTCTCTCTCTCTCTCTCTCTCTCTCTCTCTCTCTCTCTCTCTCTCTCTCTCTCTCTCTCTCTCTCTCTCTCTCTCTCTCTCCTCTCTCCTCTCTCTCTCTCTCTCTCTCTCTCTCTCTCGGTTGTTATCTCTAACATATTGGAGCATAAAGTTTTCTATTACTGTACCACCTCCAGCATCTCCTTCCCATTTCTGGTCCCCTAGGTGGCTCTAGATTCTTCCAGTCAGTCTCCTTGTGGTTCAAGTCCCCCATGACCATTGTGTGTGTGTGTGTGTATACATGCATGCATGCACATGTGCACACATGTATATACCTATTATAGTATACATGTACATGTGTATGGTGCTGTGATGACTTAACTCTTTTACTCTATGTATTTCATCTAGACACATCTATGCTTATTTATAATAAAGAAAGTAATACTTAGGCATATTATGATGAGTATAAAAGTAGGCAGTTTAGAATGTATGGCCAGATGATAAGATATCTGTTATCTTATACGTACATGATTCAGATACTGATTATCATGTTTAGTACCCAAAGACTTACTCTACAAGAGATTTATCATGCAGATCACAAGAAATGCAAATTAATAATAAAAATGGTGATTTTTACCTAATGTACATACTATATGGTATGTGATGTGCTACACTCTAATAAAAATAAGACTATTTTGGGTTATTCTGGGTTACTAACCCTCTACAAAATTTTGTAGTAGTGTATAACTACAATGTCTGTCCCTCAGAACCATTGTATGATGTTATACCAATGTATGAATGAAGTTTAACCTTATATGTTTCTTGAATAAAGATGATCTTCATTCATTTTTTGAGTTAAGTTTATCTTGGTAAATTTTCTGAATAAAGCTTACTTTTTCATATTTCCTGAATTAAACTTAGATTTTCTTTATTAATAGAGAAAACAGTTTCATCCCTCTGTGCTGCTTCACTTTTTAGATACCGTACATGTGTAATTCTTAGTCTAAGTTTAAATTGTTCGATGCTAGTCCTGATTTTGACGTGATTGCCAGTATTTTTTATAACTGTTTATAGATGTGTATAGCTGTATATAGAGTAGGTATATATAGGTTCATGAAGAAAGAAATGCATGTAACTAATCAAGCTTTTATTGAGAGAATGATTTGTTTTTAATGACAGAGGCAGAGATCTTGCATTAAAGGGGTTAAGTCTGAATGGTGACCGGTCACTAGTGGCTTTCCACAAGGATCAGTTTTGGGTCCTTTATTGTTTTAAGGACAGATTTTTAAAGCTAGATGTGAGTGAATGGCATAATTGGATGTTGATTTTTGTTTTTGTCTGAAAGCCAGCCAGAGAAAGAGAGGGAAAGAGATAAAGAGACTGAGAGCCAACTAACCTGAGTATGAGAGAGAGTCAGGCAGTCTGAGTATGAGAGAGAGTGAGAGTGTCGTAGCCGGGTTCCTCAGTATTTTTAAAATTCTTACTCAGATGTCTTGTCTAGGCAGTCATTTTAAAAATACAGTGGACCCCCGGTTTACGATCAGCTCCCAATGCGACCAATTATGTAAGTGTATTTATGTAAGTGCGTTTGTACGTGTATGTTTGGGGGTCTGAAATGGACTAATCTAATTCACAATATTCCTTATGGGAATAAATTCGTTCAGTAATGGCACCTGAACATACTTCTGGAATGAAATAAAATCGTAAGCCGGGGGTCCACTGTACTGGAGAACCTGGTTACAGTGTGTGCATGTGTACATAGTCAGGCACACCCAGTAACATTTAAAAGCACAGTGTTACCAATTAATAAATTAGTTTCTTCATTTGATTGTATAGTAGTATGTATACTATACCTACTCATTGCTTATCTAGCAGGATACTCTGAATAGTAAATGGGTATACTGTATATATAGAATAACCTGAATATATCATAACCATAATTTCTTAAAGGGATTGAAGGGTAAACCAGCAGAAGGCCTTGGTCAGATGACCAAAAGCTCCAGCTATGGGTCATCATATGATTAAAACCCACATAAGAAAACACTTGTCCTGTTTCCTGACTAACCCAACCCAAGCTTACCTTACCTTACCTTACCTTACCTTACCTTACCTTACCTTACCTTACCTAAATTACTGGGAACTGTTGAAGTCCCTTGATTTGTATTCCTTGGAATGCAGGTGAGAGATACATGATAATATATACTTGGAAAATCCTAGAGGGATTAGTACCAAACTTGCACTCAAAAATCATTCCCTATGAAAACAAAAGACTCAGCAAGAGATGCAACATTCCCCCAATGAAAAGCAGGGGTGCCACAAGTACACTAAGAGACAACACAGTAAGTGTCAGAGACCTAAGACTGTTCAGCTGCCTTCCCAGCATACATAAGGGGGAATACCAATAGACCCCTGGCTGTCTTCAAGAAGGCACTGGACAGGCACCTAAAGTCAGTACCTGACCAGCCGGGCTGTGGTTCATACATCAGTTTGTGTGTGGCTAGCAGTAACAGCCTGGTTGATCAGACCCTCATCCACCAAGAGGCCTGGTCTCGGACCGGGCCACAGTGGCGTTGACCCCCGAAACCCTCTCCAGGTATGCCTTACCTTACCTAACCTAACCTAACCTAACCTAACCTAACCTAACCTAACCTAACCTAACCTAACCTAACCTAACCTAACCTAACCTAACCTAACCTAACCTAACCTAGCCAAACATAACCTAACATAATCTAACCTATACATATAGAAACCTTGAAATGTTAGGCTTATTATTTCCTTTATGGATTGAAAGAGGTTTTCTGCAGTTAAAGGAACATCCCATTGCCTGTAAATTACTTTTTTAAGGGAAGAAACAACATGCATGGAATAAGTTTGGCTCAATTTAATCTTTTTCCATAGTTACGAGGTAGCATTACAAGTATATGAGGAGCCATGGTGCAGTGCCACATCCCAGAAGTCAAGGGTGGGAAAGGTGATAGGCTCTTGGAAGAGCTTCTGCAACCTCCGGTAAAGTCACAATTAAGGTTACAAACAAAGGTTAGTGTTTTGTCTATTACATGCTTTGATCTTTGTTCTCTTTATAGAAAGTTCCTCATTATGCAGAGCATTTCTTGCAGCCTTTAAATTAACATACAACTACTGCATTTTAATATAATTAAGTTGATTTATATGAAGGGTCAAGTTTACAGTCTCTAAAATTAGCTCATGATAATTTAGTTTACACAATTTGATTTTTGATTACCTACTCTGGAGTCTCATAAATTCTCCCTCGTCTGTTTGGTTTCTCAAGGTTTTTAACTTCGGTAAAACTTGTGGCTTTTCCCTTATCACCATAAACGTGGAATCACTAGACAAGTTTTTTGGGAGGGTGAGAGGGCAGGAAGTGGGCAGCCCTACTTACTGCCCAGCACGATGCTGCTGCCCAAAGTGGGTTTAAAATGAAATGAAGTGAAAATGTTTATTTCCTTGTAAATCTTACAATGTGATTTACACATTATTAAATATTAATTACAAAGAAGGCCACTTGCATGCCTAGGCATTTCGGGCAGACTAATACTAATTCTTACTCTTTATTGATATAGGTTATAGGTGTAAGCATGTTACTTATGGGGAAATGTAATTGTAAATACTGGTGTCACATATCCATACACAAACCTATGGATTATGTGAGAGAGGAACTCTCATGATAGAAATGAGAAAGAATGGTAGCCTCTGTATTTTGACCTCTTTCATTATTCAGTGTCCCTTAAATTTTGTTGTACCTATTATGCAGTATGTACTTATAAAGCTTGGAGCTAGTAACCCATTCTCCTGTATAAATTACTAAATGTAAAAAAGAAGAAAAGCTTTATAAGGCTTTCTTATTTTTCTAGTCACCCTGGCTGGTACAATAGGACCCCAGTATCTGCAGAGATACATTCCAGTGGTCTGCTGTGGATACTGAAACCACAGATAGTAGCGAAACCGTCTTTATTGTTTACATACATACCTATTATAAAGTTAAATTGATAAATTGTGCACAATAAGCGGAGAATTATCACTTTTTCACTGATCAGAAGGACTTCACGGCTTCTCTTAGGATTTGAAGAACTTTCATCATGACAACTTTTGCACTTTGACACCATTATTAGGCAAAATGAAGGGTTATTTTTGAACTGCGGGTAACTGAAACTGTAGATGCCAGACCCTCGTATACAGTGGTCTTGCTGTTTGTTGAAAAAAACAAAAACAAAAAAATTCATGAAGCTCTTCTAATTATTTTCTCTTTTTGCAGAAACGTGCTCTGCTCATTTTGACATCTGTAGCAGTGCTCTTAGGATTCCTGCTGACTGTGAGCATTTTCATTGTGGTCACTAGCTTGCGATGCAGTGTCTTAGATGCTGAAACCATAAGAGAAAATGAATACACTATCACCCCAGATGAACTGCAGAAGTCCAGGGATTATGCCAAATGGGTTAAAAACCTGCCCACTTTGATAACTTGTGGTATCAATTGTTTGTTCTATAACTTGGTATCAGAAAATGTGACAGAGCCGCAGACCAGACTGGATCCTCCTTTGAAGCCTCGTGTCAAAACCAACGAGAGTCTGTGTACTGATATTCCTCTGAGCATGCGCTTTGACTGCCACCCCGATGATTCTCCTACACAGGCATCTTGTGAAGAGAGAGGTTGCTGCTGGAGAGAGGAGAAGGTGAGAAAGTATCTTTAAGTATCATTTCACAAATAATTTGCATATAGGATAGAGAAGCTTAGAAAACATGAGACGTTAGTTAGTCTATCATCTAGCTAAGGGGCAGAAAGAACACTTAATGATGATACCTAAAGAACAAAAAAATACAATACTGTGACTGGAACAGCACAAATAACCACACGTAGGAGAGAGAAGCTTACGATGATGTTTTGGTCCAACTTGGACCATTTACAAGGTCAAACTTTGTTACTATCTTCAGCCTGCTCTTTTCTCTGTTCACTTTTAATTTCCTTCTTTTGTATGCTGTCAGATTCCTTTTTCATTTTTTCACCATCTCTTCAGAATCTTCCCCGAAAACCTGCATCATTGCCAAAGAGCAACTATGATGACTCTCAGTTGGTATCAGATTCATTACTGTTTAATACCACACCTCTCCCCAATACCCTAGCATTCATTTCTTTTACAACCCTAACTATAAATACTGTATGCTAAACAACCATAGTGACTTCACACATCCCTGTCTAAGGCCTATATTTACTGGAAAATAATCTCTCTCATACTAACCTAACCTGAGCCTCACTGTCCACAAATTTTTTTACTGCTATTAGTAACCTACCACATATTGCACACATTTGCAACATCTGCCACATTGCTTCCCTATCCACATTTTCTAAAGTTTTTTTTAACACATTGGCTGTCTCTCACCAAGGCAGGGTGACCCAAAAAGAAACATTTTTCACCAATATTCATGCTATCACTGTCTTGCCAGAGGTGCACACATATGACAGTTTAGATGTCCCTCTAAACAGCAAATATCCCAAACCCTTCTTCAGAGTGCAGGCACTGTATTTCCCACCTCCAGAACTCGTGTCTGGCTAACCGATTTTCCTGAAACCCTTCACAAAGTATTACCCTGCTCACACTCCAACAGCTCGTCTAGTCCCATAAACCATTTGTCTCCACTCATTCCCATCAAACACACTCACACATACCTACTGTACTCTTCAATACACAGTACAGTTGGGCCCCAGTTTACAGCATTTCACTCATGCAGCAGTTTTCAATTATTCCCATTCTTCATTTATTCAGACTTCCTACAATAAAAACATTCACCACTCTATAAGCTAAGGATGAAAATATTTTAAGGTAAGTAATGTGTGTACTGTATATGCATTTTTAGATCTAGCTCTGTTTCTCACTTCATATATGATAGTGTAAACACATCAGGTATTTGAAAGTGAAAAAGGCTGTGTTTTTCTTGACAGCAATTTTCACTTTGCAGCAGTAGCCCTGAACCTAACCTGCTGTAAAAGCTGGCCATGCCTGTATATACCAGTACAGTATATAATCTTCTTTTACTAGATGAGCTGTTTCCCACTATAGGTTATAGGCAATGTATTCTTTTCTTTTAACAGACTCTAGAGAGGAAGCAGCCTTACTCCTCTCCTCGTCTACATCAACCAACTCACGGTTCATCTCATGAAGGCGGCTTACCACTGAATGTACCATACTGCTTTTATCCTCGGGACTACGTAGGCTACTCTTTTGTGAATTACACCAATGAAATCCATGGTTATACTGGTTACCTGAAGCGAGAGATTACAAGTGGTTTTCCTGGTGATGTCCCTATTCTCAAGATGGATGTTTATTTTGAAACTGAGACAAGGCTGAGAATCAAGGTATGTTCTTGAAACTGAGACAAGGTTAAGTATCAGGGTATGTTCTTGAAACTGAGACAAGGTTAAGTATCAGGGTATGTTCTTGAAACTGAGACAAGGCTGAGAATCAGGATATGTTCTTGTAACTGAGACAAGATTAAGTATCAGGGTATGTTCTTGAAACTGAGACAGGGCTGAGAATCAGGGTATGTTCTTGTAACTGAGACAAGGTTAAGTATCAGGGTATGTTCTTGAAACTGAGACAGGGCTGAGAATCAGGGTATGTTCTTGAAACTGAGACAAGGCTGAGAATCAGGGTATGTTCTTGTAACAGACAAGATTAAGTATCAAGGTATGTTCTTGAAACTGAGACAAGGCTGAGAATCAGGGTATGTTCTTGTAACTGAGACAAGATTAAGTATCAAGGTATGTTCTTGAAACTGAGACAAGGCTGAGAATTGAGGTATGTTCTTGGAAATGCTATATATTTTTTTAAGTGTTAGGTAAAATGAGACGGATACAACTGGTATGACATTTTATTGAGGCAACGTTTTGCACTCCAGGAGCTTAGTGAAGCTGTTACGTTAAGACAAAGCTCCTGGAGAGCGAAATGTTGCCACAATAAAATGTCACATTAGTTGCATCTGTCCCCTTTTACCCAACATTTTGTTGGTAATTCTACCTACATATATTTTTAAGTTTATACACTAAATCCTTAATTATGTCTCGCCTTCAGTGGGAAAAAAGGTGCTCTGGATTTTCAACACCACAGAATGATCTCCTCGCTTTTTGTATTGTCCCTTCATTTTACACATTCCTTTTTTTGCATTATATGTTTAGGTATTGCATCGAACAAGATCATGAAGCCTGGTCGTGGATTGGGCCATGGGGGTGTTGACCCCCAGAACACCCTCAAGGGTGACTCCAGGTAGACAGTAAAGTTTTAGGCTAAATATCTAACTTCTGAATAGTAATTGATGGTCTACTGTATTTTTTTTTTTTTTTTATTATCACACCGGCCGATTCCCACCAAGGCAGGGTGGCCCGAAAAAGAAAAACTTTCACCATCATTCACTCCATCACTGTCTTGCCAGAAGGGTGCTTTACACTACAGTTTTTAAACTGCAACATTAACACCCCTCCTTCAGAGTGCAGGCACTGTACTTCCCATCTCCAGGACTCAAGTCCGGCCTGCCGGTTTCCCTGAATCCCTTCATAAATGTTACTTTGCTCACACTCCAACAGCACGTCAGTATTAAAACCATTTGTCTCCATTCACTCCTATCAAACACGCTCACGCATGCCTGCTGGAAGTCCAAGCCCTCGCACACAAAACCTCCTTTACCCCCTCCCTCCAACCCTTCCTAGGCCGACCCCTACCCCGCCTTCCTTCCACTACAGACTGATACACTCTTGAAGTCATTCTGTTTCGCTCCATTCTCTCTACATGTCCGAACCACCTCAACAACCCTTCCTCAGCCCTCTGGACAACAGTTTTGGTAATCCCGCACCTCCTCCTAACTTCCAAACTACGAATTCTCTGCATTATATTCACACCACACATTGCCCTCAGACATGACATCTCCACTGCCTCCAGCCTTCTCCTCGCTACAACATTCATCACCCACGCTTCACACCCATATAAGAGCGTTGGTAAAACTAACTCTCATACATTCCCCTCTTTGCCTCCAAGGACAAAGTTCTTTGTCTCCACAGACTCCTAAGTGCACCACTCACTTTTTTTTCCCTCATCCAATTCTATGATTCACCTCATCTTTCATAGACCCATCCGCTGACACGTCCCCCTCCCAAATATCTGAATACGTTCACACTCCTCCATACCCCTCCCTCCAATCTGATATTCTTTCTTCATCACCTAATCTTTATGTTATCCTCATAACCTTACTCTTTCCTGTATTCCCCTTAATTTCTTCTTTTGCACACCCTACCAAATTCATCCACCAATCTCTGCAACTTCTCTTCAAATCTCCCAAGAGCACAGTGTCATCAGCAAAGAGCAGCTGTGACAACTCCCACTTTGTGTGTGATTCTTTATCTTTTAACTCCACGCCTCTTGCCAAGACCCTCGCATTTACTTCTCTTACAACCCCATCTAATAAATATATTAAACAACCACGGTGACATCACACATCCTTGTCTAAGGCCTACTTTTACTGGGAAAAAATTTCCCTCTTTCCTACATACTCTAACTTGAGCCTCACTATCCTCGTAAAAACTCTTCACTGCTTTCAGTAACCTACCTCCTACACCATACACTTGCAACATCTGCCACATTGCCCCCCTATCCACCCTGTCATACGCCTTTTCCAAATCCATAAATGCCACAAAGACCTCTTTAGCCTTATCTAAATACTGTTCACTTTATTGTTTCACTGTAAACAACCTGGTCCACACACCCCCTACCTTTCCTAAAGCCTCCTTGTTCATCTGCTATCCTATTCTCCGTCTTACTCTTAATTCTTTCAATTATAACTCTACCATACACTTTACCAGGTACACTCAACAGACTTATCCCCCTAAATTTTTGCACTCTTTTATCCCTTTGCCTTTATACAAAGGAACTATGCATGCTCTCTGCCAATCCCTAGGTACCTTACCCTCTTCCATACATTTATTAAATAATTGCACCAACCACTCCAAAACTATATCCCCACCTGCTTTTAACATTTCTATCTTTATCCCATCAAAACCCGGCTGCCTTACCCCCTTTCATTTTACCTACTGCCTCACGAACTTCCCCCACACTCACAACTGGCTCTTCCTCACTCCTACAAGATGTTATTCCTCCTTGCCCTATACCACGAAATCACAGCTTCCCTATCTTCATCAACATTTAACAATTCCTCAAAATATTCCTTCCATCTTCCCAATACCTCTACCTCTCCATTTAATAACTCTCCTCTCCTATTTTTAACTGACAAATCCATTTGTTCTCTAGGCTTTCTTAACTTGTTAATCTCACTCCAAAACTTTTTTCTTATTTTCAACAAAATTTGTTGATAACATCTCACCCACTCTCTCATTTGCTCTCTTTTTACATTGCTTCACCACTCTCTTAACTTCTCTCTTTTTCTCCATATACTCTTCCCTCCTTGCATCACTTCTACTTTGTAAAAACTTCTCATATGCTAACTTTTTCTCCCTTACTGTATTTATAGTTTTGATATAATATTTACATATTAGTTTAAGGAGGTTAAGTTATGCGACTTGTTTTATTCTATCAAACAAATTATAATTTGTATGTTAGAATAAGGCATTTAATTGTTTGCTTGTGGAATCTTTACCATGTTACAGTACAAAACAATTTTTCTTGTAATATACAAAATGCAGTTTACAAGTAACAAAATATTATTAAGGACAAAAGAAAGTCACTACTAACATGCTATGCTGGTTACCCCATTCAAGCCCTCTCCCTTTTTTTTTTTTTTTTCTTCTTTTCTTTTCATTATTTTTTTTTTAGCTAAACAAAACGGCTGTCTCCCACTGAGTTAGGGTGATCCAAAAAAGAAACACTTTCACCATCATGAAATTGAGAGCAGTTTGAAAGCCCATAATTATGCCGAGCATAACCTGAATAAAAGGTCCTCGCACTTTTTTTGCAAGGCTAGACAGATAATTTTACATTCCCCAAGTGCTGTATGACCCCTATAGGTTTAGTGTAATCTGAAGGTCTTTACACATTTTTTTATTCCCATTATGTGAAAAATGTCATTGTTCACATAGAATACAATGGAAATCCTTGAGTGGTGTGTTAACGCTAGTTCCCTCTGCACGTTTGTTTAGGTTTTGAGGTGCGGGTCTCGTCCAGGGGACGGCTGTGATACTGGTGAAAGGCTCTTCATACAAGGAATTTTAACTACCCTCCCATTCTGTAGCTCACACTTAATTGTTTCCTGTTTCCAAGATGCTATATCATTCTTAAGGGTTTAGTGCTTCCATAATAAGGGGCTTTTTATAAGGTAGTTTATATGTCAGTTACCCTAATTGTATAATGTACTGTATTCCTCTTTATAGAAATATAGTTTGTCTGTTTGTTTCTTGATCTTTCAAGCGAAGTTCCTGGATGTCTGCAAAGAGTTTTTGTGGCGAGGAATCAGACATGTCTTACCCCTTCCTTGGCTCGAGTCTGAGTGCCTCCTATTCATCCATTTGCTGTATTATCCTTCTGGGTTTAGCACTTCCCCTAAACTTTAATAATTTCTTTTCTTGAATACATACATGAGTTTTTAGTGTTTCACGATTAATTTTCCTCCATAGCTCACGGATGCATCACGAGCACGCTGGGAGAGCCCCATACCTGTGGTTCCTGAAGTAACGCACGGCACCAATGCTACAGCATATAGCTTCGAGGTTCATTTAGAAGATGGAGCCTTCACTGTCACGCGCAAAATAAATGGCCTTCCCATGTAAATAGCCAATAACTGTTATTTTCATTAAGCTGTTGACTTGTTTTTAATATAAAAATGTCCTGCTGAATCACAGTTGATTTTGCATAATTTTAATAACACAAGATACAGCATATTAGGTAGCAATTTTGCTTCACAGATGATAAATTGAGGAACCACCAGTTGCAAAGAGGTTACACATTTTTTCCATGGGGTTCTTATAACTTTAAAGACATCTTGCACATTATACATGTGTCCACATTAACTATTTCCATAATCTGATTGCATATGTCTATGTACATTTTCAATAGATTTGATACATTGGGCATGGCTCCCCTGATCTATGCTGAGCAGTTCTTGCAGCTATCTACCAGCTTACCCTCACACTATATATATGGCCTCGGGGAGCACCAGGATGGCCTACTGCTGGACACCTACTGGACTCGACGTGTTCTCTGGAACCTTGATAATGTTCCTGAGCCTGGGGTATGTGGCATGGCCTTGTATATGCAGTATAATATTTAAAGATTTATTTAGGTAATCTACCAATGATTTTAGAAACAATGTTATAAATTCATTCACTGGTTCCAAGGGTACAATTTGTGGACATACATAAATACAGTGGTACATTATGTAAATTTTACTGAAGTTAACTTAATAATTAGGTCTGTGTATCATTAACAGGATTGTACTATGATAAGCATCATTTCTTTGTCAGTCTGTCACTTTTTTATAAGTAAGTCTTCCTGGGTCTTAGTTAGGAGGTCTATTTCTAGTTTTTGTATTGACTACCATTCATCTAACTCAAATATTTCTCAAAGATACATTGACATATTTCAGTTCTAATATCATTTATTTCATACATAAGTATTTCGTCTTTTCTTCCTGTTTCTTTTTTAATACATATTATAATAATTCTCCTTATACAAGTGCTCCTTGACTTACGATGGAGCTATGTTCCCATAAATTGAAGATATCATGAGGCAAATATGAATATGATGATATGTCACTGAATAAATAAATAAACAAATAATTACTGTAACTAAATAGTACCAGGTTTGAAAAGTAAATAAAATAGTAAAAGTTTATCCTCTCATTGCACCATCGTAAAGTCAAAATTTCGTAAGTTGAATCATTGCAAAGTGAGGAACATCTCTAGTTCAGTTATATATATGTACTCATGTACTCGTGTAAAAGAGATTATTGACATTTTTGCCTCGGTGGGAAATGACAAGTGTGTTAAAAAAAAAAATTTTTACTTGCCTTGGTATAAGACAGCCAGAATGTTAAAAAAAAATATTTATCAGGTACAGTGGTAGTTCTTTCTTTACCAAGCCAACTGTAATGTACAGTAGGACTGCCATATCTGCAGGTCCTGTTTCTGCAGTTTCAGTTATCCGTGGTTTACCTTGATGAAGTTTAACTGATAAATTATGCACAATAAGTCAAGAATTAGCATTTTTTCACTGATGGGAAGCTCTTCACAGCTTCTCTTAGGCTTTGAAAAACTGCCAACATCACTGCTTTTGCACTTTGAGGCCATTATTAAGCAAAATCAAGGGTTGACTCACGAAATCATAATGGCACAATTGCAAACAAACCATACCATGGGTGGGGCTTGAACCTGCAGTCAGCGAGTCGTAAAACTCCAGACCGATGTGTTAGCCACTGGACCAGCTGCCTACAGTAAGATTCATCCAACTAGGTATATTTATACACCATAGGAAGGTTAGCATAGGCACCACTGTGACCACAAATGCAAGTTTTTACAGACAAATCTCCCGCAAGCATAACAAACTCTAGATCAAGTCCCCTCAAAGCCGTCATCATGACTCACAAAATCGTAATGACACGATTGCAGACAAACCACACCACCGGCAGGGTATGCTTAAATGAAACTTACAGTAGTCAGCTGTCCCAGTAGCTAATGCATCGATCTGGAGTTTTACAACTCTGAGCATGGATTCAAGCCCTGCCCGTTGTATGGTTTGTTTGCAACTGTGTCATTATGATTTCATGAGTCAACCCTTAATTTTGCTTAATAATGGCCTCAAGGTGCAAAAGCAGTGATGTTGGCAGTTTTTCAAAGCCTAAGAGAGGCTGTAAAGTGCTTCCCATCAGTGAAATAATGATAATTCTTGACTTATTGTGTATATTGTATCAGTTAAACTTTATCAATTTATGTATGTCAGCTAAAAATGACTCGTATAGGGTTCGCTACTATCCATGGTTTCGGGTATCCACGGTAGGTCTTAGAATGTATCCCACTTGTCAGAAGTTTGATTATGCCATAAAAGAGAAATTATATTTTACAATATTTTTTATGTAAGTAGAAGGTAATCAAAACACCATCAGCTTGCCATGAAAGAAGATTAATTCACATTTTTTTTTTTCCACAAACCAGCCGTATCCCACCAAGGCTTAAAAAAAAACGAAAGTTTTTCTTTTTAAATTTAATAAATTATACAGAAAGGGTTTCTAGCCTTTTGCTTTTGGCATTTTAGTCACTTCTAATTCACATATATGTAGCCAAATAAGGGATAAGATTCTCACCGGTGGCCCGGTGGTCTGGTGGCTAAAGCTCCCGCTTCACACACGGAGGGCCCGGGTTCGATTCCCGGCGGGTGGAAATTCCGACACGTTTCCTTACACCCATTGTCCTGTTCACCTAGCAGCAAATAGGTACCTGGGTGTTAGTCGACTGGTGTGGGTCGCATCCTGGGGGACAAGATTAAGGACCCCAATGGAAATAAGTTAGACAGTCCTCGATGACGCACTGACTTTCTTGGGTTATCCTGGGTGGCTAACCCTCCGGGGTTAAAAATCCGAACGAAATCTTATCTTATCTTATCTTATCTCACCTGGTGAAGAATAAGACACATGTGCAACACTTGAGTATCTTTATTGATGAAATAGGAATAGAGGCACAGTATGATGACTGGAACAATACACAAATAACCTGCGCATAGGAGAACAAAATTCGTGATGTTTCTGTCTGACTTGAACTATTAACTGGTCACACACACACGAATGAAGGTAGGGAGCCAGTATGTATACTGGGGGGGGGGGAGAAAGAGAGGAGGAAGAAGAAATAATAAAATAAAGGAAATAGTGATAGTGGGTGCGGGAGGAAAGTGGGTGCGGGAGGGAAGAGGAGCGATTGGTGGAATGATGATGTAAAGAGAGTAGTAAGGGAGAAAAAGTTAGCATATGAGAAGTTTTTACAAAGTAGAAGTGATGCAAGGAGGGAAGAGTATATGGAGAAAAAGAGAGAGGTTAAGAGAGTGGTGAAGCAATGTAAAAAGAGAGCAAATGAGAGAGTGGGTGAGATGTTATCAACAAATTTTGTTGAAAATAAGAAAAAGTTTTGGAGGGAGATTAACAAGTTAAGAAAGCCTAGAGAACAAATGGATTTGTCAGTTAAAAATAGGAGAGGAGAGTTATTAAATGGAGAGTTAGAGGTATTGGGAAGATGGAGGGAATATTTTGAGGAATTGTTAAATGTTGATGAAGATAGGGAAGCTGTGATTTCGTGTATAGGGCAAGGAGGAATAACATCTTGTAGGAGTGAGGAAGAGCCAGTTGTGAGTGTGGGGGAAGTTCGTGAGGCAGTAGGTAAAATGAAAGGGGGTAAGGCAGCCGGGATTGATGGGATAAAGATAGAAATGTTAAAAGCAGGTGGGGATATAGTTTTGGAGTGGTTGGTGCAATTATTTAATAAATGTATGGAAGAGGGTAAGGTACCTAGGGATTGGCAGAGAGCATGCATAGTTCCTTTGTATAAAGGCAAAGGGGATAAAAGAGAGTGCAAAAATTATAGGGGGATAAGTCTGCTGAGTATACCTGGTAAAGTGTATGGTAGAGTTATTATTGAAAGAATTAAGAGTAAGACGGAGAATAGGATAGCAGATGAACAAGGAGGCTTTAGGAAAGGTAGGGGGTGTGTGGATCAGGTGTTTACAGTGAAACATATAAGTGAACAGTATTTAGATAAGGCTAAAGAGGTCTTTGTGGCATTTATGGATTTGGAAAAGGCGTATGACAGGGTGGATAGGGGGGCAATGTGGCAGATGTTGCAAGTGTATGGTGTAGGAGGTAGGTTACTGAAAGCAGTGAAGAGTTTTTACGAGGATAGTGAGGCTCAAGATTAGAGTATGTAGGAAAGAGGGAAATTATTTCCCAGTAAAAGTAGGCCTTAGACAAGGATGTGTGATGTCACCGTGGTTGTTTAATATATTTATAGATGGGGTTGTAAGAGAAGTAAATGCGAGGGTCTTGACAAGAGGCGTGGAGTTAAAAGATAAAGAATCACACACAAAGTGGGAGTTGTCACAGCTGCTCTTTGCTGATGACACTGTGCTCTTGGGAGATTCTGAAGAGAAGTTGCAGAGATTGGTGGATGAATTTGGTAGGGTGTGCAAAAGAAGAAAATTAAAGGTGAATACAGGAAAGAGTAAGGTTATGAGGATAACAAAAAGATTAGGTGATGAAAGATTGAATATCAGATTGGAGGGAGAGAGTATGGAGGAGGTGAATGTATTCAGATATTTGGGAGTGGACGTGTCAGCAGATGGGTCTATGAAAGATGAGGTGAATCATAGAATTGATGAGGGAAAAAGAGTGAGTGTGCACTTAGGAGTCTGTGGAGACAAAGAACTTTGTCCTTGGAGGCAAAGAGGGGAATGTATGAGAGTATAGTTTTACCAACGCTCTTATATGGGTGTGAAGCAGGGGTGATGAATGTTGCAGCGAGGAGAAGGCTGGAGGCAGTGGAGATGTCATGTCTGAGGGCAATGTGTGGTGTGAATATAATGCAGAGAATTCGTAGTTTGGAAGTTAGGAGGAGGTGCGGGATTACCAAAACTGTTGTCCAGAGGGCTGAGGAAGGGTTTTGAGGTGGTTCGGACATGTAGAGAGAATGGGGCGAAACAGAATGACTTCAAGAGTGTATCAGTCTGTAGTGGAAGGAAGGCGGGGTAGGGGTCGGCCTAGGAAAGGTTGGAGAGAGGGGGTAAAGGAGGTTTTGTGTGCGAGGGGCTTGGACTTCCAGCAGGTATGCATGAGCGTGTTTGATAGGAGTGAATGGAGACAAATGGTTTTTAATACTTGACGTGCTGTTGGAGTGTGAGCAAAGTAACATTTATGAAGGGGTTCAGGGAAACCGGCAGGCCGGACTTGAGTCCTGGAGATGGGAAGTACAGTGCCTGCACTCTGAAGGAGGGGTGTTAATGTTGCAGTTTAAAAACTGTAGTGTAAAGCACCCTTCTGGCAAGACAGTGATGGAGTGAATGATGGTGAAATTTTTTCTTTTTCGGGCCACCCTGCCTTGGTGGGAATCGGCCAGTGTGATAATAATAAAAATAGTAGTAGCAGTAGGTAGGGGTAGTGATACAAGAGTCAGAGTGTGGAGTGTAGTGTGGCAGTGGTAGTAGAAGTATTAGTGCAGGTTATTTGTGTACAAGTTTTCACTGTTGTTACCAGTGTGCCATTCGGATACTGTGAGTTTCAAATTTGTTATTTCAGACCAATTTGTATGGGAGTCACCCATTCTACATGGCATTAGAACCAGGTGGTAATGCTCATGGTGTGTTTCTTCTCAACAGCAATGCTCTGGGTAAGTTTCTCTTCACTAAGATTAATACTGATTGCTTAAACTATAGAATTTTGTTTTAGTGTGTCCCTGCAAGGGTTGTCTTGTTGCTGGAAAAGCACTCTTGATCCATGGAATTATTGCTGATTTCCCCTCCCTTGCTTTAAACTTAATTACCTTCCATTTCCTAGTCACTTTATGACCAAAATATATCATATTGTCCTCTGTCAGGAGGTGAAAGTCATTTCTATTTGCGTCTGTCACTTGCTGGGAGATGCTCTGTTGAGTAACTCATCCTTAATAGCATTTCTGAAGATATTGATATTACTCTTTTTCCTGCAGATATAGTGCTTGGGCTATTCTCCAACCTTACGAGCTCTGGGTCCATCATTGCAGTTTCTGGCCCATCACTAATGCCCTTTTGCCATCCATTGGTGATTGGGTCCCTTACTGCCTCAGGGTCTTTGGGGTCACAGTTATGTTGCCCTATGGAAAATTATTGTATGTAATAAAAAAAAACTGTACTAATATTGTAAGAATATACCAATGAAACTGTTTCACTTAAATTTGGGAAATTACTTTATAGTCTTATACTCCTATTACCCCTATTCTTATATGTCCTATATCACTCACTTATTTACCCAATCTCAACCATGACAATTATTCACAGGGCTCACAACAAACATTTCAACAATTACCTTACAACAAATTTCAGTCAAATTCAAACGAAATCCCACACAGCACAAACTCAACATATTCAAACGCTAACCTATCATAGAACATTAACCTACATAACCCTCCTACCTACTACTCCTTAACACTTCAACTAGAACATAAACCTCCACTCAAGACTTACAACCTCAACTGAACACTTGACCATACAAGCACATCAACTTACTCGTGTCAATCTAAACAATGCAAAACCCTGGAATCAAATAAAACCCAAATCTGTTTACTACTATTTTAAAAAATGTTACTACCACGGAATAAATATTATAATTGTTATCATAAATGTTTCTCATTATTGTATCTCATAAATGTCTAACCTGTGACCCAATCAAACTTTATTTTTTAATTACATTACCTAACAGAATATTCCATTCTACTGAATGCTCAGCAACACAGTAAATGACCATGTGACCTGTCTTTGTAATACTCATTTGTGCTAAATTATCTGTTTACAATAATGTTTTTACGACTGAATATATTATTGCTTAGTTAATCTTAAGTTAATTTTAAGCCTGCCCATAATGCTCTGCATACAAGGGGCTTGGCATGTTGCACTGTAATAACTGTATTCCTATGTACTTCACTGTATCATGTTCAAATTAATAAATAAATATGTCTTTCTCCATGGGGAAGTGGAACAGAATTCTTCCTCCGTAAGCCATGCGTGTCGTAAGAGGCGACTAAAATGCCGGGAGCAAGGGGCTAGTAACCCCTTCTCCTGTATATATTACTAAATGTAAAAGGAGAAACTTTCATTTTTCCTTTTGGGCCACCCCGCCTCGGTGGGATACGGCCAGTGTGTTGAAAGAAAGAAAGAAAATATGTCTTTGAATTACAACTCCCATTATCTTTTTTGCCTCGTTTTTTTTGCAAGTATCTAGATACTTTCTCTTGCTATATCCTCCTTTTTTAATTATTTTCAAGTCATGGATATATGAATTTGCAAAACAGGACTCTAGAAATTTGGCAGAGGATTTGCATTGCTAGAATTTTCTTTGAGAGCATTACATGCTAAATAATATAAAAATGATGGCAGGAAGTATTTCTGGATAAATAAGATAAAATTTGTTTGGATTTTTAACCAGGGGTAGGGAAAATTAGCCATCCAGGATAACCCAAGAAAGTCAGTGTGTCATCAAGGACTGTGTAATTTCCATTGTGGTCCTTCAGTTTTGTTCCCCAAGATGCTACCCACTACAGTCAACTAACACCTAGGTACTTACTGCTAGTGAATGGGCACAGCAGGTGTAAGGCAACTAACACTCAGGTACCTAACTACTAGGTGAACAGGGACAGCAGGTGTAAGGAAACATGCATGTGTATAAATTAATGTACTGTTCACTAAAATACCACAAAAATATAACTCATCCGATAACCCTAACCAATTATTTTTTTCCTTGTCACATTTGCCATTTACACTCGTTCATCCATATGTTTTCAGATTTGGCTATGGATCAGTGAAGAGGACTCGTGAAGTCTGGCAGCGGACACGTGATGCTGGAATTCCCTTTGTAAGTTAGATACTGAGACTGTTATGCAAAGTTACTTTGATATATATTGTATGTTTTTAGTATACTGTACTGTTATATTTTGTTTTATATATTGGCAGTTTCAGTTGCTGTATTTCTATATGCCTGTTGATAAAACTTGAAGAATCTTACCATATCATGCTTGCAATTACAAGGATGTCTTGTTTGTTACAGGATGTACAATGGAATGACATCGACTACATGAATGACAGCAAAGATTTTACTGTTGATCTCGTCCATTATGAAGGTCTTTCAGATTTTGTCAGTGAAGTTCATCAGGTAAGAAAATTTGTCTTAATAATACGATATTGATGTATATAATTTGGTGCAGATCTCGGTAGTTAGTAAGTTCAGTGGCCAGGGAATAATCCAGACCTCAGAACTATTGAATGTCTGGAATATCTTGAAAAAAGATGGAATCCTGCCACATTTCATCCATGTCATGCCTCCTGCAGCAGCAGGAGATCAAGGACATATGAGATCAACCAGAAATCTGAGTGAAAGCATGCCCAAATGACTCCAATTTTTTTATTAACATATCAGTCATTTCCCACCAAGGTAGGCTGACCCAGAAAAGAAGAAACACTTTCATCATCATTCTTCACTCCATTACTATCTTGCCAGATGCGTGCCTACACTAGAGTTAAAAAAGTGCAACATGTCAGCACCCCTCCTTCAGAGCTTTAGCTTCAAATGGTCATCAATGCCAAGAGGAAGAAGAAAAATTATTACGTTTCTGTTCTATGGTACAGAAGGGCCCCACATATGTAGCAGGTTAGGTTCTGGGCTACTCCTGTGAAGTGAAAATTGTTATAAAGTGAATTATATCCTTTTTTTTTTTTTTTACTTTCTTATGCATATAGAAGTCTGATAACAGGTTTACACTATCATATATTAAGTGAGCAATATAGCTAGGCCTAAAAAAAATCATATACAGTACTCACATTACTTGCCTTAAAATATTTTTGTCCTTGGCTTATAGTTAGTGGTGAATATATTTATTGTAGGAAGTCTTAATAAATGAAATATGGGTATAATTGAAAACCGCTGCATAGTGAAATACTGTAAAGCAGGGCCTGCTTGTATTTATAATGAAGGGGAGGTCTGGGTTATTATTTGCTGGCACTGTATGTATTTTCCTCTAGCTTATTCCTGCTTCAATTTTTATCACGCATGTACGTGTCTTGGTGCACACATGAAGAATTTGCTTCACTTTCGTGGTCCTTCAAGGATGGAGGGGTGTGTTGATGCTGGTGCATCTTTTGATCCAAGGAATTGAAGGTATCATCTCCTTCATTGGGTCAAATCTCATTATTTCTCATACTATAAATGTTGTGTGACCATTAATGGTTTAGTATTTCTCCATATATATTATAATAGTACTTATGAACACTTTTTTTAACAACCGGCCATATCCCACCGAGGCAGGGTGGCCCAGAAAGCAAAATTTAAGTTTCTCGTTTTAAATTTAGTAATTTATACAGGAGAAGGGGCTACTAGCCTCTTGCTCCTGGCAATTTAGTCACCTCTTATGATATGCATGGCTTATAGAGGAAGAATTCTGTACCAGTAATCCTACCATCATGTATAACAGTTACATTCACTTGTCAGGATGTTAGTACCTCCCTGGGCAGTTGCTCTCTACCAACCTACTACCTAGCAGTTATTATTATTATTATTATTATTATTATTATTATTATTATTATTCTTTCAACAAACCGGCCGTATCCCGCCAAGGCAGGGTGGCCCAAAAAGAAAAAAAAGTTTCTCTTTTTAAATTTAGTATTTATACAGAAGGGGTTACTAGTCCCTTGCTCCCGGCATTTTAGTCTCCTCTTACAACATGCATGGCTTACGGAGGAAGAATTCTGTTCCACTTCCCCATGGAGATAAGAGGAAATAAAGAAGAACTAGAAAGAAAATAGCAGAAAACCCAGAGGGGGTGTGTATATATATGCTTGTACATGTATGTGTAGTGTGACCTAAGTGTAAGTAGAAGTAGCAAGACGTACCTAAAATCTTGTATGTTTATGAGACAGAAAAAAGGACACCAGCAATCCTACCATTATGTAAAACAATTACAGACTTTCGTTTCACACTCACTTGGCAGGACGATAGTACCTCCCTGGGTGGTTGCTGTCTACCAACCTACTACATAGGTATTATTATTATTATTATTATTTTATATCATAGAATTTCTTCAGTTTAAATGTATTAATCACATATTTTTTTCAGGAATATTTTTTTAATTAATATTTAGACGCTAATGCTGGGAATTTTTCATGTTCGATAGGCTGGGATGCACTACGTTCCAATTATTGATCCTGGGATTAGCGCGGCCGAGCCGCCTCACACTTACCCGCCCTGGGACGAAGGCGCCCGTTTGGGCATTTTCATCCGTAACTCGTCAAATTTACCTTTCATTGGCAAGGTAAGGCATTTTTAAATTACTTTTTTCCAACATACAAATTAGAAGAGCAATTTTTCTTGCATCATTAGTGCCTTTGGATTACTCCGATTTATATCCTGGCTTTTGAAGTCATTGATTACACCTGATGATTTTTACTTGACCAACTGGCATTGACTTGCCTAACAAAGAAGAATATCAATAAAGCTGCTCTTATTGTTGGTTTAAATAAAACTTAAGTGGATAACTTATTTGCTTAATGAAGAATTGTATGTAAATTGCTTTATCCCTTTCAGGGTTTTGGACGTACTAGTACGGCTTACGCACCAGGGTTTTTGACGATACTAGCATGCCTAAATTCTAGCGCCCTCAGATCTAGTGAGAGAAAGCTGGTAGGCCTACATATGAAAGAATGGGTCTATGTGGTCAGTGTGTGCAGTATAAAAAAAATCCTGCAGCACACAGTGTGTAATGAGAAAAAAAAAACTTTGACTGTGTTTTTGGATCAAAACAGCGACTTTGCACTGTATTTTCGTATGGTATTTATTGTTGCATTCTAGTTTTTCTGGTCTCATTTTATAGAATGGAAGACATATTACAGAAATTGAGATGATTTTGACTGGTTTTACAGTGAAAAGTACCTTGAAATTGAGCTCAAAGTAGCAGAAATATTCGATTTTTACCAAAGTTCAAAAGTAAACAAATCATGCTAAGCATCCAATACACGTCAACTGGTGATTCTAATATTCTTTCACAAGTGCGCCGATATTATTTATACCATTTCTACACTAATGCAGTAGTCTGCATAACAGTAAATCTTCTATTTCTTGTGAGAATAAAAATTCAAAGTATAGAGCAAAAGAATGTAAGAGGGGCGTGGGGACGTGACTAATGAACAGAGGAAATGTTATTTTAGTGCCAGGAATGTCTTTCTTGTTTATTCTGGACCCTATTTGGAAATTGGCATCTTTTGAAATTTGTGTGAAATTGGCAAAATTGCTAAATTCTGACCACTGTATTGGATACTTGACATCGGTAAATGGGTGGTTTCTTGTACTCATTCGATAGAAAAAATGGAGTTCTAGCGAAATAGTTATGATTTTTGTTGACTAGTACACTAGAATTGGCCGAAAATAGGGCTCAAAGTGGGCAAAATCGCTGATGCGTAAACATTGTCGAGACCGCTAACTTTGAAAGAGCATAATTCTGTAAGTTTTCCATCAAATTTCATACTTTTGGTGTCATGATCAGGAAAAGATTCTCTATCTTTTCATAAGAAAAAATAACTTTTTTTTTTTTAAATTTGGGCGACCCTGAGAACAAGCCTGGGAGAGGACCTGGGGATCCCTGAAAGGGTTAACCATGTCCAGGGTTGCTTACAAATATGTCTCATTATTTTTCCATATTTCGAGAAAATAAAGTAACAGAAAAGTTTGCAGGATTACACATAAATGCTTTCAAAACTTGTGCTCATAGTTTTTAACTACAATTGGAGCAATTGTATTATTGAAATGCTTGACAGTTTGCAAACAGGTGAAATTATTTACTGAAACATATTTATTTTTGGTACGTATAATCTTCCAAGTTCTTGTGCAACCTTTGTATTGGCATTCTTTGATGAGAGAAAGAGAACAAAATGCAAATTAAAAAAAATGAGGACTACATAGGCAGTATCAACTCCTTACACTTGGCAAATGTGTAAGATATTAGCCAAGTCACAGTTTATTAAGTAAATTCTCTTGTAATTTTCAGGTGTGGAATCCTGTGGGTACATCATGGCCTGATTTCACACATCCTCTCTCTGCATACTACTGGGGCCGCCAGCTGATGCGCTTCCACAATGAAATACCGGTGGATGGAGCTTGGATTGTGAGTATTTGGACCTTATTCAAAATTCCTGTGGATGGGGCTTGGTTTGTGAGTATTAAGATTTTTTTTCAAAATATTCTGTGGTAAGCTCCATCTGATAACTAGAAGAGGTTTATAGGCGAGTCAAGTTGAAATCCAATAAATGAAGTTACGTTAAGATGTCTTCTTTCAACAAACCTGCCATATCCCACCGAGGCGGGGTGGCCCAAAAGGTAAAATGAAAGTTTCTCCTTTTAAATTTAGTAACATATACAGGAGAAGGGGTTTCTAGCCCCATGCTTCCATAAATTACAGCATATTTTAATTTAATACTTTTTAAACACCAGCTGTCTCTCACCAGTGTAGGGTAACCCCCCCCCCCCCAAAAAAAAAAAAAAAAAGAGGAGGAATTGCATTCACCATCATTCATTCAATTGTCCATTTTTCCACCAAGTTAATGTGACTCTCTTTAAATACAATCTCTGTATGTCTTGCTAGCTTTCATGAAAATTGGTACATAAATAGCGTGTATTTGTTAACTCATGTACTCTCCATATTCGCTTTTCTCTCACTTTAACATTTAAGATCATCTGAGGGTTATAATCATAACCATAATTTTTTTAAAGGGGTGGATGGGTAAGCCAGCAGAAGGCCTCAATCAGATAACCAAAAGCTCCAGCTGAGATTCCTCATATGGCTTAAGACCTGCATCAGGAAACACTTGTCCTGCTTCCTGACGAACATTACTTAACCTAACTTCTCACTTTAACACTTCCTTTCTTAATAATCATTTTTCTTAACACACTGGCCATCCCCCATTGAGGTTGGGCGATATTAGGTCATGATCTGTAAATAAGAATCACTCTCATCATCACTCCATCATTGTCTTCCCATAGGTATGCTAACATCACAGCTCAGATGTTCCTCTAAACTGCAACATCCCCACCTCTCCTTCAGAGTGCAGGCACTGTACTTTCCACCTCCAGGACTCAAGCCAGGCTGACTGGTTTCCCTGAATCCCTTTAAAATGTTACCTTACTCACACTCCACCACTTAAATTTGTTCATTCCTATTTGAACACTCATTCATGTGTGTTGGATGGCCAAAGATAGATTAATAGTGTTTATTTCATGCATGGAAAAGCCCATGATTATCCACAGGATTTTAGGTAGACTTGCCCTAAATTAGGGGTAATGCTAATAATTTTTTTTTCAACAAACTGGCCTAAAAAGAAAAATGAAAGTTCTCTTTTTAAATTTAGTAATGTATACAGAAGGGGTTACTAGCCCCTTGCCTCTTATGACATGCATGGCTTTATGGAGGAAGAATTTTGTTCCACTTCCCTATGGAGTATGCTACTAATAGAAAATAAAAAATATGTTGCACATGTGAATACTGTGTAACAATTGCACAGAAAAAAGTGACACATTTAACGTACCTAAACTAAAGTCTCTTAAGAAGTTACCTTAAGGTACCCTCTTAGAAACATGGAGCCGCCCTCCCTTTTCTTGAATTAAATGTGATTATTTTCCTATTCTCAGGTTCTGTATAGTCTAAAAGAAGTTAGTGGAGGAAGATGGTTTTTGGGACTTGACGAGCTGTTGGAACATGAACGAGGTAACTTTTTGTGAAGGGATTCACTGAAACTGGTTAGCTGGACTTGAGTCTTGGAGGTGGGAAGTACAATTCCTGCACTCTAAAGGAGAGGTGGAGATACTTGCTGTTTAGAGGGGCATCTGAACTGTTGTATCTACACATCTCTGGCAAAACAATGAGTGTGAATGATGGTGAAGCTGTTTCTTTTTCGGGTCACCCTTCCTTGGTGGGAGACAGCCAGTGTGTTAAAAAAAATATTGTATATGTAAATTGTAATTGTTGTTTCAGGATATGAATGAACCTTCCAACTTTTGGTCTGGCAGTGTTGATGGTTGTGAATCAAATAACTTGGAACATCCATACTTCCTACCAGCAGTGCATGGTGGTCTTCTCTTTTACCACACCTTGTGTATGAGCTCGAGGCAGCACTTGGGTCTACATTACAATCTACACAATCTCTTTGGCTTTACAGAAACTATTGCTACAAATGCGTTAGTATTACAACAAGTCTTTTGTTTAATCCCCACATCAGCTTGTGTTGTCTTGTTTTTTCAACATACCAGCCAGAAGGGGTTACTAGCCCCTTGCTCCTGGCATTTTAGTCACGTCTTACAACACTCATGGCTTACAGAGGAAGGATTTTTCTCCACTTCCCCATAGAGAATCAACCTTTGTATATATATGATAAATTGAAATTTAACCCGTAAACGGTCCAAGCAGATCTACGTTCACGTGTAGTGCTACAAAAGTAGATCTACGTTTTTTTTACACATTTTCAAATATAACAAAAAAAAAAGTAGATCAAAGTTTTTTACACATTTTCAAATGTAAAAAAAAAAAAAAAAAAGATGATCTACTTTTTTTACATACCTTCAAATGTTGAAAAAACGTATATATACGTTTGGACCGTTTCCGGGTTAATTATGCCAGGGAAGTCACAGGCAACGTCATTACCTGGTAATAATAATAATGACAACGAAGATCTGCTAATCTTCAGATTTAATTTATAACAAGTGGGGGTATTCAAAATAGGAAACACATTGAAACAGTCACCATCATTCAGTGGCCGTCTTACCATAAATGTGCAGACATCACAATTATGTTATGTTGATTTCAGTACACTAAATCCTTGACTTCATGGACTAATAGTGGAGAATGGGCACCGGGCAGCCTATAGTGGCAGCTGTGGTGGATATAAGAACATAAGAATGTAGGAACACTGCAGAAGGCCTACTGGCCCATACGAGGCAGGTCCTTATCAAAACGATCTCTACCTAAAGCCACCCAAGAAATAACTCCCGTACCCAATGACACCAATCAAACCCAGCCCCTCCCACTCATATGATTGTCACAACAATAGACAAGTCTGTAATAAAAAAGTTTATTAGTTACAAGGTTTACTGCTTAATTTTATAATAATAATAATAATAACGTAATAATAATAATACAGTCATAACCTGCTTTATGTCATTTTGACCTACGTCAAATTCTCCTTTATGCAATTTTTCTAGAGTAAATTTCAGTTCAGGGAGCATCATGACGTGCTACGATACATCACTCAGCAACATCACTTACGTCATAATAATAGGATGTGAAATAAATAAATTTTTCCTTAAAAATATATTTAAAATAAATAAAACACATAAAAACTAACAACAAAAGATAAAAGAAGCTAAAATAACAATTTAAAATACAATAAAAACACATTAAAAATATAAAAAATGGATACATATGTACATGTATATAAAAAATATTTAAATAAAATTTAAAAAAAAAGTGGCCGTCATTACGTAGTTGCACCGTCTTGTTGCGTGGCAGCATTGCTGCTGGTTCTCATTCAAAACAAGGGCAATGCCATATGCATTTTTGCCCATGCCAAGTTTAAGGTAAATAACATTACTTTATTAATTTTATTTATTATTCTTTACAAATTAAGACTTAAAATATTCTTTAAATTCTGTAATGCCTTAACAAGAGTTATATTCTTTCGTATGTTGTTTACTCTAGTTGTAAGGTGCATTTCCTCATACTTAAGGCATTTTTAATTAAGGGCAAATCACAAGGTAAATAACATAATTTTTTTGTATTTATTATTCTTGAAAAAATATGATTAAAGTGCATTTTTAGCGTTCTTTAAGGCTTAGCAATAGTTATATACTTTCACGAGTTACTTACGCTAGTTTTACTGCATTTTTTGTCATTTTAAGGCATTTTTAAGACATTACGTCCAGTCACGTCAAAAACTGGGTTATGTCGTGGCTCTTGGAACCAGTTAATGATGTAGGGCAGAGTATGACTGTAATAATAACAATAATACTCCATGGAGAAGTGGACAAGAATCCTTCTCCATAAGCCATGCTTGTTGTAAGAGGCAACTAAGATGCCTTGAGCATGGGGCTAGTAACACCTTCTTCTTTATAAATTACTAAATGTGAAACAAGAAAAACTGTCCTTTTTCTATTTAGGTCACCCTACCTCGGTGGGAGGCGGCCAGTACATAAAAAAAATAATAACTGACCCAGAGGATTTTTTCCTTTATTTCTGAAGTTCATAAATAGAGGTGCATTAGATTTAGTATTTACTGTGGTTTACTTTCAGTTGCACTAATAAGTATCCTGGGAAATGAAAAATGTTACTGTATTTTTTAAGTAGTGTGGAGGAACTCTGCCCTCACATCTTTTGATGTGAAGTGAATTGTTTTAAACAGTTTGAACCAATAAGCTCGGCATTGGTCAGATAACCAGAAGCTCCATAGACTGGGTTATGACTACCCAGTAAGATCTGCATCAGCAGGAATTTGCAGTTTTCCAGACATAAATAGTATACCATTATCATCAATTTCCCATGCATTTTTTTATGTGGATGGTTTGTAACTTGTGCTGCTTTTCTAAAGCAAATTTATGTTTTAAATGAACACTTATGATTTGTTTCTGTTTTCATTCTAGCTCCAAAGATTTCTTTTAATAGGTCTACAGAAAAAAAGACAAATGCATTATAATTCAATTCTTTATTGGTATTTTCCGTACACGGTAGGCTTTATCATGTCTGTTTCCCTCATGTCGGTATTGTATACTACATATTTCCATCTCGGTATTTAACCCTTAAACGGTCCAAACAGATCGACGTTCAAATTCGTAGTGCTACAAAAGTAGATCTACTTTTTTTTACATACTTCCAGATGTTGAAAAAACGTATATATACTTTTGGACCATTTAAGGGTTAATACCACATATTTCCATGTTGGTATTTTATACCACATGTTTCCATCATGACAGTATTTTATACCATATATTTCCATATAAAAGTCTGGTATTGTTTGATTAATGACACATTCAGGTTTAAATCTTATTTAGCTGTTTAGATTCAAATTTTTACAATACATACTTAACATTTTGTAACTAAACGTCTTTGACAGCGCCTTGCAGATCATTCGAGGGAAGCGACCATTCATAATATCCCGCTCAACATTTCCTGGACAAGGTAGCTATGGAGGCCACTGGACAGGCGATGTGTGGTCTGACTGGTTCAACTTGTGGCAGTCTGTTGCTGGTAGGTGTTGGAACGGCAAAAAGTGGAACCTCAGTGTTTGAACTTAATTGGTTCCTAGATGGTGTTGAAACTGCAAAAAGTTAAGTGTGGGAAACAGTATTTCCCAGGCTTTAGTTATCAGCCTCACACACTGGAGGATGTTGAACTGACTCTTCCAAAAGTCTCTGAGTTATGTCAGTGTCAGAGGTCATTTCAAAGCACTTTTGAAACAGGGCTTTTGTGTAAAGGTTTTTAGGAACTGAATTGTAAAAAAAACTCCAGAAAAACGTTCAAAAACCAGTTCAATTTTTTTCTGAACAAAAATGTTTGGACTGGTTCATTTGAGGTCTGGTACATTTGAACACTGAGGTTCCACTGTATTTACCAGTGTATCTTATATAGTTGGTATTGTTGGAACATAGGTAGTTTTCAGAGGAAGCTAATCCACTAAATACTGAGAGTGCCTGATCAGCCAGGCTGTAAGTGCTAGTGCACTCAGTTCACACTTTGAGGTCCGTGGTTTGATCCCCGGTATGGGTGGAAACATTAGAACGTGTCTCCTTAAGACACCTGCTCTCCGTGTTCACCTAGCAGTAAGTAGGTGCCTGGGTGTTAGTCGACTGGTGTGGGTCGCATCCTGGGGACAAAATTGACCTAATTTGTGGGAAATGTTCTGCATAACAAGTGGCTTTCTATATAGTAATATGTCATTGATGTCAGCTAGGCCTGTACACCTTGTACATGTACTTGTAGAAATAAAGATATTATTATTTTTACTTCTTTTAACACACCGGCCGTATCCCACCAAGGTGGGGTGGCCCAAAAGAAAAAAAACGAAAGTTTCTCTTTTTACGTTTAGTAATATATACAGGAGAAGGGGTTACTAGCTCCTTGCTCATGGCATTTTAGTTGCCTCTTATGACACAAATGGCTTGTGGAGGAAGAATTCTGTTTCACTTCCCCATGGAGACAAGTGGAAATAAACAAGAACAAGAACTAGTAAGAAAAATAGAAGAAAACCCAGAAGGATGTGTATATATATGCTTGTACATGCATATGTAGTGTGTCCTTAATGTAAGTAGAAGTAGCAAGATGTACCTAAAATCTTGCATGTTTGAGACAGAAAAAAAGACACCAGCAATCCTACCATCATGTAAAACAATTAGAGGCTTTCGTTTTACACTCACTTGGCAGGACGGTAGTACCTCCCTCAGTGGTTGCCGTTTACCATCCTACTACCTATACATTTATCAATTTTTTTTCTTTTTCTTTTCAACAAACCAGCCGCATCCCACCAAGGCAGGGTGGCCCAAAAAGAAAAACAAAAGTTTCTCTTTTTAAATTTAGTATTGTATACAGGAAAAAGGGTTACTAACCCCTTGCTTCCATCATTTAGCATTGTATACAGGAGAAGGGGTTACTAGCCCCTTTGCTCCTGGCATTTTTAGTCACCTCTTACAACACACGTGGCTTACAGAGGAAGAATTCACTTCCATTTTCCCATGGAGTTTTTTCATTATCTGTACACATACAGTGGACCCCCGCATAACGATTACCTCCGAATGTGACCAATTATGTAAGTGTATTTATGTAAGTGCGTTTGTATGTGTATGTTTGGGGGTCTGAAATGGACTAATCTACTTCACAATATTCCTTATGGGAACAAATTCGGTCAGTACTGGCACCTGAACATACTTCTGGAGTGAAAAAATATCGTTAACCGGGGGTCCACTGTATATTGTTTTTATAGAGGTTTTTATTTCCTTTGTTAAGTCTTATAAATATGAATCAAAAAGCATTATTGGGTCAAATACTGATCCTTGTGGTACACCTCTGTTACCATTTCCTCAAGACGAATAGGGAATGGGATGAATAGGATGAATAGGAATGGGAACAAGGGACTGTCCTGGGATTTTTTTGTCTAACTTATCCTAATTTATTACATCTTGGCAAATTCAACTTGTCAGGGGGATGTATCATCCTTTACAAAAAAAAAAAATCTTATAAATAAAAATTTAAGGTTCATTTTTCAAATTAGTTTTTTTGAATACACAACCCCTTGTGAATTGTCATTTTTTTTATTTGTCTAATTTTTGTGTTCCTCTTTTTTTTTTTCAGGAGTTTTAAACTTTAACATGTATGGGATACCAATGGTTGGTGCTGATATATGCGGATTCAATGGCAACACAACAGCCGAACTTTGCATGCGGTGGATGCAGCTGGGTGCATTTTATCCATTCTCCAGAAACCACAATACAGATGACGCCTTTGTGAGTAGAAACATTTCTCCCCGTCTACAGCAGTGTTCCCAAGGTCTGGGTCACATCCACAAGTGGGGTTACCCACCATTTTATTTTGGATTGGTAAAGCTACCAAAACATACTCACTGGTATGAAAAATATACATGTACGTATATCTCTACATAAATAACTCGCATATACGAGAAAGAAACTTGTTTTGAGTTTCAGTCCAACTTAGACCATTGTTCAAGTCAACTGTTTTTGTATTTTTTGTAATATTTTGTAGTGTTTTGTAGTTTTTCTGTACTGTTTTTGTTGTGTTTTTGTAGAGCTGTTGCAGTCTTTTTGTAGTGTTTTGTGGTATTGTGCGTATTCTTCAAAAATGTCTGGTCAAAAATAAAGTACTTTATTTTCAAATGGATTTGTGCTTCAGAATGTAGAGCACAACTCATTATTATTGCTAAGTCACATATTATACCTCTTCAAAAAAAAAAAAAAAAGTGGATAAAAAGCAGTGGTATTTTTTTTTTTTTTTTTTTTTTTTTTTTTTTTTTTTTTTTTTTTTTTTTTTACACAGGGTTTGACAAGGTTAAGGATCCCTAGCTTTATTGACAAACTATTTACAGGTTAAGGATTCCTAACTTTATTGGCAAGCTAAGAGCTGTTACCTACATCAGCTCATTTGAAAGCATTTTTATTGTTATGAGACATACAAGTAGGGAACAGGATGAAGTTGGAGCCATCTGTGGGCCAGCATTTTCATTTGATCAACTGACTTTATCTCGTTGACATCATTATGCTGTACGAATGTGTTCCATACTCGAGTCATCCTGGGTATGTATGATCTCAGATGGAGTGATGTTCTGGAGAAGGGTACAGCCAGAGTGAAGTTGCTGCTTTCTGCCCATCTTGTGGCATAAAAGCTTGTTTCATGCTGTCCTTGAAGTGGATCCAAGTGTGGTATGTTAATGTTGCAATTGTATAACTAGTGTAAAGCACACCTCTGGCAAGACAGTGATGGAGTGAATGATGTTGAAAGTTTTTCTTTTTTAGGCTACCCTACCTTGGTGGGAAACAGCCAGTGTATTAATTAAATAATAAAATAAAATAGGGATTAAAGCAAATTTAGTGTATATGTACTGAAAGATATACCTCTCAGTGTATATATCCTCATGCTGGATAATGTTGAAATTTACTTTGTGTACAGTATACATGTTTCTGTATAAAGTGGGTGTTTCTTTCTTTCTTTCAACACACCAGCCGTATCCCACCGAGGCGGGGTGGCCCAAAAGGAAATGTAAAAGGAGAAACAAAAGTTTCTCCTTTTACATTTAGTAATATTTACAGGAGAAGGGGTTACTAGCCCCTTGCTCCTGGCATTTTAGTCGCCTCTTACAATACGCATGGGTTACGGAGGAAGAAATCTGTTCCACTTCCCCGTGGAGATAAGAGGAAATAAACAAGAACAAGAACTAGAAAGAAAATAGCAGAAAACCCAGATTCCAAGATTCAGACTTCATCTTAGGGGCCATGGTGAAATTTACTGTCCAGTTAGTACAGTTAATACAGTATGATGCTGCTGATAGGGCAGGGTAATTCAAACTGATGCTGTCTGCATGACTCATTGCCACCGCGAGTATTGTCAAATATTGTACAGTGGTGTGCATCAGCCGGCCCAGCCCAGCTGCCAGATGCACGGTCGTAAGTCGAGTGGACGTATGTCGAGCAGCTTGTAAGTCGGATGGTAGGTGTATATGCTTGTACACGTATGCGTAGTGTGACCTAAGTGTAAGTAGAAGTAGCAAGACATACCTGTAATTTTGCATGTTTATGAGACAGACAAAAGACACCATCAATCCTGCCATCATGTAAAACAATTACAGGCTTTCATTTTACACTCACTTGGCAGGACGGTAGTACCTCCCTGGGTGGTTGCTGTCTACCAACCTACTACCTTTAAAGTGTGTGTTTATGTACCATTTATATTACATGTGGACTATACATGTTTCTACTTTACATATTGTTTATTCCAGGACCAAGACCCAGTAGCTCTAGGGGAAGATGTTGTGATAGCATCACGTAACGCCCTCACTCAACGCTACATTCTCCTGCCGTATCTTTATTCACTCTTCTTCCGTGCACATCTCACAGGAGAGCCAGTGGCTAGGCCACTTTTTTTCCAGTATGTCAACTTTTTAACTGTAATGTTATTTCTTTTATCATGTATAACCAACATGAATAAGTCACAGTACTGTAGTTGGAACATTTTTCAAATAACTGGCTCTTCCTCGTTAATAAAAGATATTATACCTCCTGATCAATGTATGAAATCCTTGCCTCCCTTTCTTCATCAGCATTGAATAGTTCCTCAAAATATTCACTCCATCTTCTCAATACCTCCAGTTCCCCATCTAATCAATCCCTTCTGTTTTTAATTGTCAAATCCATTCATTCTTTAGGCTTTGTCAACCAGATATTGGATAAAATATTACAATACTATTTATGAACGTTGTAGATTGAATCATTTTTTTTTTTTAACACCGGCTGTTTTCCACCAAGGCAGGGTGGCCTGAAAAAGGAAAAACTTTCACCATCGTTTACTCCATCATTGTCTTGCCAGAGGCAGAAAGGAACCAGCAGATTTGGAGGTGTATAGTATTTCAGCCAATCTGTTGAAGAGGGCCTCATTTGGAGGCTGAAATAAAGCTTTCCTAATATGTTGCCCTCAGGCACCAGGCACCAGAGAGGAGCTCTTGATCCAAGGAACTGTACTTATTCTCCCCTACTTAGAATTGAACCTGAATGCTTCCATTCCTCAGACCCTGTATGACTCACAGGTTTGGTGCTCTCCCCTAATGAAAATATATTTCATAATCTGTTGTTTCTTTTCTGCCTTAATGAAATTTTGTTGTAAATAACAAAAAAGGCACAATACCGTGACTGGAACGATACTCAAATAACCCGCACATAAAAGAGAGAAGCTTACGACGACGTTTCAGTCCGACTTGGACCATTTACAAAGTCACACTAACCAGAAGTGGAGCAGGACGGCTATATATAGGCAGGAAGAGGTGGTGGTGGTAGTAGTAGTAGTAGTAGTAGTACAAGAATGGTATATAATACCGACAGGATGAAATTAAGAGCTTCTCTCTTTTATGTGCGGGTTATTTGTGTAAATTTTGTTTTAATTACATTGACATCAGTGTTTTTGAAACTGGCTATCATGATTTAAGTTTAGGCATCATACTATTCTATTTAGGATGTTTTTCAATGAACATTATAAATGAACATCGACATTATTAATAAAGCTTCTCATGAGGTTTTGCTCTTTCTACAGATTCCAGAAAGATCCCAAAACATATGCTATAGATACACAGTTCATGTGGGGCTCGGCACTCATGATACTCCCAGTTCTCCAAGCGGTAAGACAACTAGAGTTTATCTTTGACACCAACTTCTGAAGTCATTCCATAGTATAGGCTGAGGGACTGATTACCTCAAACTCCTCTTTATCTTACATTATTATTCTCTATATTGGACTGAAGAAGCCACTGGCTGGCAAAACGTTTCCTCTGTACAGATTCCCAAATGTTTCGCAAGTTGTATATCTGTACTATACAGGAAAGCATAGCTGATGGCAAAAAAAATTAACATGGTGACAGTAACTCGTGGCTCTGTGATAGTCTTCAGATGTTGTGCGTTAGATTAGATTATTTATTTCAGTATGATACAATGTTTGTACAGGGGTGGGTGACATTTAGGTGTGCATACGGAAAGCCCCTTAGTATGTAGAGCATTTCTGGGAAACTTTTTTTTTATTTATTTATTTATTAATTTGAATATGATACAGTGAAGTACAAAAGAATACAGTTAAGTGCAGCATGCCAAAGCCACTTGAATGCATAGCATTATGGGCAGGCTTAAAATTAACTTAAGATTAACTAAGCAATGATATATTCAGTGGTAAAAAAATTATTGTAAAACAGATAACAATTTAGTACAAATGAGTATTACAAAGACAGGTCATATGGTCATTTACTGTGTTGCTGTGTAATCAGTAGAATGTTAGGTAATGAAGTTAAATAGTAACAAAGTTTGATTGGGTCACAGGTTGACATTTATGAGATGCAATAATGAGATACATATATGAGATACAATTTATGAGATACAATTATTCAGTATTTATTTAGTTGTGGGTGAGTACGTGATTTTTGAGAAGAGACTTGAATTTATAAACAGACAGTGTTTCTTTTATATTCACAGGTAATGAATTCCAGATTTTAGGGCCTTTTATGTGGATTGAGTTTTTGCATAGCGTGCTATGGACACGAGGAACATCAAAGAGTGATCTGTGTCTTGTGTTATGGTCATGTGTTCTGTTGAGGTTGGTAAGGAGATGTTTGAGGGAAGGGTTTATGTCAGAGTTAAGTGTTCTATGTATGTAATAGGTGCAGTAATAAGTATGGATGTTTTGTATTGTGAGTAGGTTTAGAGTTTTGAATATTGGTGGAGTGTGCTGTCTGTAGTGGGAATTTGTTATTCTGACTGCAGCCTTTTGTTGGGTGATTAGTGGTCTGAGATGGTTTATTGTTGTTGAGCCCCATGCACAAATTCCGTAGGTGAGATAGGGGTAAATAAGTGAGTGATATAGGGCCAGGAGGGCTGACTGTGGAACATAGTACTGTATCTTCGATAGTACGCCTACGGTCTTGGAAATTTTTTTGGAAATTTGTTGTATATGTGTTTGAAATTTGAGTCTATTATCAAGGTGGATTCCTAGGAATTTTCCCCCTGTGAGTTTTGTGATAGATGATCCATTTATCATTATGTTAAGAGACATATCTGCAGCTCTGTTACCAAACTGAATGTAGTAGGTTTTGTCAATGTTTAGAGTAAGTTTGTTGGTCCTCATCCAGGTTGGTATTTTCTGTAATTCGGTATTTACAGTATTGGCTAGCATGACTGGGCTCGGGTGGGAGTAGACGTATGTAGTGTCATCTGCAAATAGTGTGGGTTTGAGTAGTTGCGATGCATTTGGTAGGTCATTTATGTATATGAGAAAGAGAAGAGGGCCTAGGACACTTCCCTGTGGGACACCAACTGTAATTGGCTGTGCAGAAGAGTTTGCCCCATTTGTGTACACATATTGGCTTCTGTTGCTGAGGTATGACTTTAGGTAGTTGAGGGAGTGCCCTCTTATACCATAGTGCGACAATTTTATGTGGAGCAAGTCGTGGTCAACTGTATCGAAAGCTTTACGTAAGTCAATGAAGATCCCCAGTGGGACTTCTTTTTTTCTCTATTGCTGTATAAATATGTTCTAGCATGTGGATAATAGCATCATTAGTATTTTTATTAGGCCTGAACCCAAATTGACAGGGGTTGAGTATGTTGTGGGAGATGAGGTAGGAATAGATATGCCTAATAAGGTAATAACAGTTGATTGCTTATAAATACATGGTCTCTAGGTGGTTGTAACAATAAATTTAGGAATTACAATGAACTCAAGATAATTAAATACATATTAATACATGCTATACGACTTTTTGAGAGTTTAATTGTTTTAAGGATTACAGGTTGGCTTATGTTTGCAGGTTTGCTTACACCTATTGTCCCCATTTAATCAGTTAATGGGTTTTTGGGTGTTAGTTGATTGTTGAGGGGTGGCATATTGGGGGATGGAAGAAAACTTCAATTATGTTTGGGCTTCAAATAAGCTGAGGCAAGATAACAGTTCCAAGTCTAGAAATTCAACAACGTAAGGAAATAATGTAGTGCAAGTTCTCTAATTCAATGCTAAGAGCAAATAGGATTATTAATCACTGTGGTGCTTATGTTTCTACAACTCACTATTGTATTATCTTGTGCTGCCATAGTTCTTCTGCATTGTCATACCACTACTGTTTGTTTGAAACAGGGGTCTTTGTCTCTCCATAATATACAGGACTGTGTATTATAGTTTTGACCCTTAGTGTCCTCCAGTTTCAGCGATGGCTTATTGGTGTGAAGAAAAAGCACATTATGCAAAGAATTTTTCAAAAAGTTGAAATTCTAGAGAAGTTTGTCATAAAACTGTTTAGTCAGTAAGAATTATGGTTTCAGTGTTCCTACCAGTCTGTAGTACCATACAGTGACACTGTGTGTGCCTCACACATCTTCCTTCTCTCACCCTTCACTTTTTCTTGTCCTATTCCCATATAGAACAGCTGTAGAGCCCCCCCAAAATTTTTTTTTACCTAATTTGGAATAAGCTAAATTCTTGAGATCGTTTAAAGTGTAAAATAAATTTGTTAATTCTCATTGATATTTTCAGAATGTCACGAGTGTGAGAGCTTATATACCTCATGGTAGCTGGTATGACTGGTACACTGGTCACCCCATGGAAGGTGAAGGGGATTACATTAAACTGGAAGCTCCCAAGGACAAAATTCCCTTACTGATTCGTGGAGGTCACATCCTTCCCATCAGTCCACCTGCTAATACTACTAGTGACAGGTACAACCATATAAATGATTGTAGTTCACTCAGATTGCAGTCATTACATACCAGATTATTTTTTTGTAGATTAGTTGAAGTATTTGAATAATTTAGAGGAGTGATTATCGGATTATTTTTAGGTTGAAACTTTTTCAGAACAAGCAACTGCTTTGTTCTGAAAAAAGTTTGAAGGAATTTTATGAAAAGGTTAGGCTGAATTTTCCTGAAATTTTTACTTCCGGTATGGGTATGTCTAATTAATAGTCTCTTGCTGGAAATAGTCTCCTTTCACATGCTAAATATTTTTCAGCATCTTTGCATTTATCAAACTTTCCAAGCATCGTGTCAGTCAGAACAAGTAAGGGTGTGGCATATTCAGCTAGGGAGGTAATGTATGCAAGATGCAGTGCAATACTGACAGAGTGGAATCCTTCCACAGCCCTAAATGCTCTTAGCTTCCCTGTGTATTCATAAAATAGTGGCCAGAAATATACAAGACCAGTGTTGAATGATGCTAGTGTTGAGTTTTAAAGTTATATACAACAGATATTTCTTTCTTTCTTTCAACACACCGGCCGTATCCCACCAAGGCGGGGTGGCCCAGAAGGAAAAATGAAAGTTTCTCCTTTTACATTTAGTAATATATACAGGAGAAGAGGTTACTAGCCCCTTGCTCCCGGCATTTTAGTCGCCTCTTACAACGCGCATAGCTTATGGAGGAAGAATTCTGTTCCACTTCCCCATGGAGAAACAGATATTTATATATCATATTTTTAGCTTTGTAATGTTGATTATAATTTTATGCTCTGCCTGACAGCCGCAAGAATGGTATTGGTGTTGTGGTGGCACCTAGTCAGTTTGGTCGAGCTGCTGGAGAGTTTTACTGGGATGATGGAGACTCCATTGGTAAGTTTTTTTTTTTTTTTTTTTTTTCCAACAAGTCGAGCCGTCTCTCACCGAGGCAAGGTGACCCAAAAAGAAACAAAATCCCCAAAAAGAAAATACTTTCATCATCATTCAACACTTTCACCACACTCATACATAATCACTGTTTTTGCAGAGGTGCTCAGGACACAACAGTTTAAAAGCATATACGTATAAAGATATACAACATATCCCTCCAAACTGCCAATATCCCAAACCCCTCCTTTAGAGTGCAGGCATTGTACTTCCCATTTCCATTACTCAAGTCCGGCTATATAAAAATAACCAGTTCCCCTGAATCCCTTCACTAAATATTACCCTGTTCACACTCCAACAGCTGGTCAGGTCCCAAATACCAGTCGTCTCCATTCGCTTCTATCTAACATGCTCACGCATGCTTGCTGGAAGTCCAAGCCCCTCGCCCACAAAACCTTTACCCCCCCCCCCCACCTCCTCCTTTCTAGGACGACCCCTACCCCGCCTTCCTTCCCCTACAGATTTATAAGCTCTCCATGTCATTCTACTTTGATCCATTCTCTCTAAATGACCAAACCACCTCAACAACCCCTCTTCAGCCCTCTGACTAATACTTTTATTAACTCCACACCTCCTAATTTCCACACTCCGAATTCTCTGCATAATATTTACACCACACATTGCCCTTAGACAGGACATCTCCACTGCCTCCTACCACCTCCTCGCTGCAGCATTTACAACCCAAGCTTCATACCCATATAAGAGTGTTGGTACCACTATACTTTCATACATTCCCTTCTTTGCCTCCATAGATAATGTTTTTTGTCTCCACATATACCTCAATGCCCCACTCACCATTTTTCCTTCATCATTCTTTGATTAACCTCATTCCTTCATAAATCCATCTGCTGACACGTCAACTCCCAAATACATATCTGAAAACATTCACTTCTTCCATACTACTCCTCTCCAATTTGATATCCAATTTTTCTTTATCTAAATTATTTGATACCCATTGGTAAGTATATGAGCCAATTCATTTTTGTTCTTGAGACACTTGGTAGATGAATTTTATCTACATAAACTCCAGTGTTTCCTGATATAACTAATGCGTTAACAAATCATCTTTTATTTTAGTAATAATGTTAGAATTACCAACAGAGTACCTGGAGAGTGAAACGTTGCCACAATACAATAACTTACTAGTTGCATCTGTGTCCATTGACATAACATTTTTTATTTTGAAAAAATGCTATAGCCTTCTCTTTTAATGGCAGTAGCATCAGTGCTGGGCCACCTTTCTGTGGTGTTAGAGTTTAAGTGTTCCAAGAGCCTTACTGTGAAGCCAGCAACCCATGTGCTGGCCTAAATGGCAGGGAGATTGCCACTTTAATCAAAATTTGCTGTGACTTGTGGTTAATAAATTGAAACAAACTTAGTAAAAAGACACACACAGCTAATATTTGCTTACAGACACTGTTTCATTCTGAGTAGAGCTTTATCAGGTCAGCAATTTGATAATGCTCTACTTAGAGCAAATCTTGTATTCAAAGATTTACTCGTCACAGTGTCTTTTTTTCTATACCTCCCAGAACAAGCTAGACGACATGTTTGAACTGTGACTTTTGGCCTTAGAATTGGTTTGATTATACTATACTATGGTTATAATATCAAAACTCTAATAATATGGTAATTTACCATGGTTACAATAGCAGAACTTTGGCATTGATAGTAGTAAATTGTATCTTGAAATTAGTAATGAAGGCAGTGAATTAATGATGTTAGCAGTACAATGCCTGCAATTTAAAGGAGGGGTTTGGGATATTGGCAGTTTGGAGGGATATGTTGTGTATCTCTATACGTATATGCTTCTAAACTGTTATATTCTGAGCACCTCTGCAAAAGCAGTGATAATGTGTGAGTGTGGTGAAAGTGTTGAATGATGATGAAAGTATTTTCTTTTTGGGGATTTTCTTTCTTTTTTTTGGGTCACCCTGCCTCGGTGGGAGACGACCGACTTGTTGAAAAAAAAAAAAAAAAAAAGCAGTTTTATGTGTTAATAACCAAATGATTCAATTGTTTTGTTAATTTTATACAATATGCTTTATTATAGAGCTCCTCTAGTGCAGTCTCATTGTAAAGGTGATTGAAAAAGTTCGTACTAACTTCAATAGCATGTGAGAAAACTTTCATAATGTGAGCTGGTCAATTTTGGATGCACTTTTACAACATTTAACGGTGGCCTGGTGGTTAACGCTCTCGCTTCACACGGTGAGGGCCTGGGTTCGATTCCCAGCCAGAGTAGAAACATTGGACGTGTTTCTTTCCACCTGTTGTCTATGTTCCCCATCAGTAAAATGGGTACCTGGGTGTTAGTCGACTGGTGTGGGTCGCATCCTGGGACACTGACCTAAGGAGGCCTGGTCACAGACCGGGCCGCGGGGGCGTTGACCCCCGGAACTCTCTCCAGGTATCCAGGTAATATACAGGAGCTTTATAAGAGAGCTTACTGTAACTTGATCAACTTAAATTGTGCTATGTAAGTATTAATACTAATACATGTGTATGTGTGCAGATGTAGTGAAGAGTAAGACCTACACCCATGTGCGGTTCATCTCAGGTCCTGGCATTGTCAACTTCAATTTCACGATAAATGGCTATACAGCTCCAGTCAATCTCAGTAAGTTAGACATCTTTGTTTGACAGCACATACTCTGTAATAACTCACATGGAGACAGCAACTTAACTGATCTGTATATATCAACCCCCCAGGAGTGACTGATGATAGAAATGTTTCTTCTCTTTTGTGTCGCCTTTCCTCAGTGGAAAATGGCTGATGTGTTAAAAGAAAAAATTTGGCTCCCTGCTGGGGTCCATTTCAGCAGATGCGTTATGACCCCCAGCAAGGGGTTGAAATATACAGATAATTTAATTTTCTGAGTTTGTCTCCATGTGAGTTATTATTGAGCATTGACAAGTGTTTGTTACACTTTCTTTAGTTATTCTGAGTTTGTCTTCATGTAGGTTATTATTAAGCATTGACAAGTTGTCATTACACTTTCTTTAGTTATTCTTCATAAGGATAGTTGTAATTATTGTCATTTAAGTTTTTGGTAAGTAACAGTCCTATAGAGTAAGATTTTTGACATAGGTAATTAAGAAAAGTGCTAAGTTGCCAGTGTCTGTCATAGATATTAATAGACTCATTATTATTTGTGATTTGCAAGAAAACATTGCATACAGCAGAAAGTCTGCTAGATAGATTTTCTTCCCTAGATGTTGGAAGGAATCTTTAGGGCTATTTAATCCACCATAACTTATGAAATTGTTGTAACACAATTACAAACAAATCAAGGAATGGGTGGGGTTAGAACCCATGGCAAGTGAGTGGTAAAACTCACAGGCCAGTGTGTTAACCACTTGACCAGTTGACTAATAAGAGTCCTCCAACTAGGTACATGTCTGTACACCATAGGGAGGTTAGCAGGGGCCACACTGGATGACTCTTACTATAGCTAGCTTATCTAGTGCTTAACACACTGGACTGTGAATTTTAGCACTCTCATGACATGGGGTTCTAACCCCATCCATTCCCTGATTCTGTTTAACCCATTATGGTTGTAAATCAAGGATAACCTAACAAAGCCATGTAGTTTGGCTCGTTTCCATTAGTCTTTCTATACGCTGTGACCCATGGCATCTGACTGACTCCTAAGTACTGCACCTGTTTGCTGCTAGATGAGTATGGGCCTCAGATATACAGAGACTTGCTCATGTATCTCTGCCCTCCAAGCCCTTTCAGTTGCAGGCCAAATTTTACTTGTGTATTCATTGACATTTGATGCTGCTGAACAGTCTTATAGGATTACTTACACTTGTGGGTGGAATAAATTCAATTCCTTATATCAAAAGCCCCTTGACAACATCAAGGAACCTCCTGTGAAGGTTCCTTGATTGGAAAACTCAAAATATACAAATTTACTACAATAAGTGTTTCCTGGATACAGTAATTAGAAAACTACTAGAAATCTGATTGCAGGCATAACTTTGGTAGTGTATTTAGGAGATTTTACATTAGTTAGTGTAATATAGTGGGATACACTTTAGAGGGGAGGGTCGAGTGCCTTCATGCTGCTGAAGGGTTCTTGATGGAAGGAATTGGAGCTGCCCTTCCTTTCACATCAGACCTGATTACCTCTCATTCCCCAGGCATTATATGACCCCTACAGATGTAGCATTTCATATAATAATCTTTTTTTTTTTTTCCAGCATCCCACCAAGGCAGGGGTGACTTAAAAAGAAAAAAATTATTTCTTTTTAAATTTAGTAATTTATATAGGAAAAGGGGTTACTAGCCCCATGCTCTCAGTATTTTAGTCACCTCTTATGACACATGGCTTACAGGAGAATAATTCTTTTCCACTTCCCTATGAAGAATAATAATAAAAAAAAATAATGTGGGAGTCAGCTTGCTCAATACAAATGAATGATATACTGTATACTGTATTTCGGGCTTATAAGACACTCCGATGCTTTAGACGCCTCCCAGTTTAGAAGGTAATAATCAGTAAATATTACTTGGTATTAGTGCCTAATACCAAGTAATATTTACTCCACCCCACACCCCAAACTTATAGCTCCCATCACTGACCTTCAGTTTGTAGGCCGCAGGGTGGTTTTTGGAAACATTTTATGGAAAACAAAATGCTTCTAATAAGCCACGAAATACGGTAGATTTTCAGTGAAATTAATTAATGTTTTTCATTGACAGCTTACATGTACATCCTCAACGTACTCACCAACATAACAGAGGTTAATGTTGCTGGTAAACAAGCACACTTCCAGTATGATGACTCAAACAAGGTAAGGATGTGAAGAGTATTGTAACTGATCAGGTTGTTGTAATGCCTGAAAGGTGGAACGAACAGGAGATAAGGTTTCAAAGATGATAATCATAAAAGAACAAAAAAAAATTAAGTCACGGTATAATGTCTGGAATTAACCCATAACTAACACAAATAGAAAATAGAAATGACATGATGTTTGGATTTATCAAGAATTAAGTATAACTATATTATCTGTTTATTTTTATTTTTTATTAACACATTGGCCGTTTCCCACCAAGGCAGGGTGGCCCGAAAAAGAAAAACTTTCACCATCATTCACTCCAGCACTGTCTTGCCAGAGGTGCACTTACACTACAGTTATAAAACTGAAACATTAACACCCCTCCTTCAGAGTGCAGGTACTTACACTCCAATGGCACATCAAGTCCTAAAAAACCACTTGTCTCCATTCACTCCTAACATGCTCACGCATGGATGCTGGAAGTCGAAGCCCCTCACACATAAAACCTCCTTTACCTCCTCCTTCCAACCTTTCCTAGGCCAACCTCTATGCTGCCTTTTCTCCATTGCAGAGTTATACACTTTTGAAGTCATTCCATTTTGTTCCATCCTCTCTGCATGTCCAAACCACCACAGCATTCCCTTCTCAGCCCTCTGGATAATAGTTTTGGTAATCCCGCATCTCCTCCTAATTTCCAAATTACAAATTCTCTGCATTATATTCACACCACACATTGCCCTCAGACATGACATCTCCACTGCCTCCAGCCTTCTCCTTGTTGCAACATTCACCACCCATGTTTCACATCCATATAAGATTGTTGGTATAACTATACTCTCATACATTCCCCTCTTTGCTTCCATGGACAAAGCTCTTTCAATATATTATCTGTATACTGCATAAAAGAAATAAAATATTTGAATTTAGTTAATACATGCCCTTTGTTGGTGAGGTTAGGAAAGGGTTTAGATAAACATGTTCTTTTGAATTGTTTACTAGGAAGAGTACTCGTCTCTTTATCAAACAGAGGATCAAGCCTAAACCACTCCTCCCACTGTTCGATTCACAGGTTTTAGGGTTTACAAAGTATTTAAAGATTTAGGCAACCAAAGTGGGCAAGTATTTTTTTGGTCCTTGTGTCTGTATTTGTATGTTCTTGACAAGCACACCTATTAATATTTAAGTATTTTTGAGTTACATATACAGGGTAAAGTTTATGGTAGAATTATTGAAAGAGTTAGGAGTAAGAGAGTAGGATTGCTGAGGAATGAGGAGGATTTAGGAAGGTTAGGATTTGTAAGGATGTTGCAGTTTGGAAAATAATCTGAATTGTGATGTCGCCAAACTCTGCCAAGACAGCGATTGAATAAATGATGGTGTTTCTGTCTTTTTTTTGTTTACTGCAGTGGGAGATAACCAGTGTTAAAAATAATAAAATAATAATAAAAAAAATTAATGTGTGTTATTCTTTCAGGTTCTGACAGTCACTGACATAGCCCAGAGTCTTCTACAGTCATTTACTGTCACATGGAAGTAGAGAAATAATCTTAAGTGAAAATGGGAGGAAGAATGGCAAATATTATATTCAGTATTGTATGGTTGTGATTACTGTAATTTTTTTGTGAGGGAGATACCATAAGTACTTTATGGAATTCTTTTAGATCATATTATTTTTGGCTGAAAATAATGTATGAAGCATCAATATTTTAGAATCTTTATAAAGAAATAATTGTTGATATAGCAAATAATTTTTTAGAAATTTAGTCAAAACAAATTAAAAGTTATAGAAGTGTAATAACAATTTTTGGATCGTAAATTGAATCTCTGTGTGATTTAGAGATTATCTAGAGAACATCTTTCATTTGGTAGTCTTAAATTATGTTGTCATAGTTCTTGGTATATAATATTTTCCACCATTCTTGTTTCACATGAAATATCTACATATATATCATAAGTATATATACTTATTTAGCTAGAATTTAACTAAATACTGTAGCACAAAATTCATTTTAACATTTGTCATGAATTTACGATATTGTATTTATGTACACATTGTAGATGAGTAAGACATGTATGCAACATTTTGGCATCATTATTACCATAATGTTTTGCTGGCTCAGCATGCTTCACTACTTGAAATAAAGAGGTGACCTAAATACTGCAGATAACAGAAGTACAGTAGGGCCCCACTTATACGGCTGGTTAGGTTCCAGGCTACCGCCGTAAAGCGGAAACCGCCGTAAAGTGGAACAGCCTTTTTTTCCACTTACAAATGCATACAAACACTAGATAACAAGTTTACACTAACATATATTAAGTTAGCAATAGAACCAGGCATCAAAAAACAATAAGAAATCAAGTGTGGTATGTATGGTAGTCAGCCGGGCTACCATACCAGGCCAAGCCACCTACACATAATATTCTATTACATTTAAGCATCCCAGAGCGATAAAATGTATATACAGTTCCCTCATTACTTACCTTAAAAATTTGTAGTTTAATGTAGGGTCAGGAGTAAGTAAATGAGATAAAACGAATAAATGAGAGAGAGAAAGAATGAGTGCATGAGAGAGGACAGGCGCAGAGTTATGTAAACAAACCAGGCGAAGGTAAGTTTGTAAACAAAGTGTACACGTCTGGTTTGTGTACAAGTTACATTGTGTACAGGTTGTCTCTACATTGATACGGTAGAATAAATAAAGAAGACACTCCCCTTCTCATGTAAAATCATTTTGAGAAGAAATGATGCTCTGAGTGAAGGCAATGGAAATAAGTCACTCGACTTTTTTGGGTTATCCTAGGTTCCTACAAAATATGTTGTTATGTATGATAATTATGTTTAAATGTATTTGTGTATACCTGAATAAACCCTTTCTTACATACATACGAAAGGAATAATTTTCTACAGTTACCCCAGTAACACATTTTCTCTTATGTTAGATTAGAGAAAATGTTATTCTTGGCATCACTAGTACAAGTTATTGGCTACCACATCTCATATTTATGTTTATTTATTCTTTCTGTAGGGTGTATTTTTTCATCTTTTTATGTTTGTATCGTGGGTTTTTATATAATTTTGAAAAAATATCATGGATGGATTAATGAAAATGTGTATATTAACGTAATATACAACATTTAATGAGACTCGGTGATTATTATTATTATTAGCATTTCTAATATGGCGTCACTTGTGCAAGTTGTCTGCTACCACATCTCATATTTTGTTTATTTTTCTATTGTGGGGTGTATTTATCATCTTTTTATGTTATGTATCGTGTTTATTATATAATTTTGAGAAAATGTGTATTTAACGTAATATACGACATTTAAATGAGACTCGATGATTATTATTATCATTACTAATTGACGTCTGGAGACATAAGACACTCTTACTTATTTTTAAAGTGTACCTGCATGCCAGCACAGTATGTAAGTTTATTTAAGTACAGGTATACATAAGTATAATTATCAGAGTATATATAAAATATGAAATAACTTTTAAAAACATTTGAAATTTTGGAGTTTCCAGACAAAATGGAGAGACTTAGTGCTTACTGAGCTCACGAAGAATGTAAACAAACAGGGTGGGGCGCGGTGGCCGTATTAGAAAGTCAGGTGGGGGGAGCCGTATAGTGAGTTTTGGTCATAATTTGAAATGACCGTATTAGCGGAACGCCGTAAAGTGAAACGCCGTAAAGCGGGGGCCTGCTGTACTGGAGAAGCAGATATGAGGTGATGAATCCTTCAGCCTTGTACAAGAAATAAGTTTGAGGCAGTCACTCTCTCAGCTTTAAACTTCTTTGAAGGCTGAGGGACTGACAGCCTTATAACTGCTTGAAGGCTGAGGGACTGACAGCCTTATAACTGCTTGAAGGCTGAGGGACTGACAGCCTTATAACTGCTTGAAGGCTGAGGGACTGACAGCCTTATAACTACTTGAAGGACTGTCACTTCACATTTACCTCTCCCCTACTTCTCATTTTGTATATTTAAGCAACCTTTTTATTTAACGAACTTGAGCGGGAAAAATTTTCAACAAGATACCCAACTGTTACATGCGTGTCTTACTTATCAGTTTGTGTATTAATGATACACAAAACTAACATTTTATTTAAAAACATGTTTTATCATTGTATTATAGATGATGGAATGTATGGTTATTATTGTATTAATGGGGGAATGCTAAGTCTGTAGGAGACATACATTGCCTGGTGAATGGAAGGCAATTTGATTTGATCCAAGGGGAGCTCCAATTCTTTGGATCAGTGACAGTTCAGTATCAAGGCATCTCATTGAAGGGGAGCCATACAGTAATGACAAGAGGCCTCCAACTTACAGATGCCACAAGTTCTGCATGACCACACCTACAGTCACTACTGAGCTGCAGTAGTGATGTGTGAAAAAATATCTTTGTACTGTTGTTATTGCTTTCTGGACTATACAAACAATTTGTTTGTAAATTAGAAAACCAGGAACACAACTTGTCTGAAAGTTCGGGACTTCCTGAATATGTTTCTCTCGTGAATATATTATCTAATGCTTTACCAGTGAACATGCCAAATGCTTATGGAAAGAATTGTATTTTTGAATTCAAAGATTTTTCCTAAACCAAAGAAACTTAACCATGGCAAATGCAAAATCATGTGTTTGTGTTTTAAAAGTGCATTTATCAAAATTTGCTGAGAAGTTTTCCCTGGTAGTACACTGCTTTCTAATATTTCATTACTTTGCCTTTACATTACTAGTGTCGTGTGTTCAGGTCCTGCAGCCTTCTGTTGTCCTCGTCCATTTGTATTCTCATTATTTTAGTATGTTCCACGAACAAGAATATGCAGCAACTTAGTCAAATTGGCAAGGTGTTCATATTCACAAGGAATAATATAAGACCTAGTACTGATTCTTTGGGCAGACCTTTGCTTACACTCCCATCCTGATGGTTGAACTCTGTTTCATGTTGTTTAAGTACTCCTTAATGCAGTTATCAAGTGGCTGTGTGTTCCCCAGTATTAGTGGCTTATATACATCCTTGAAAGACGGTTCACTCTTCCTCTTTCTTGTGGGTAGGTGCAATTACCTGATCAAGTTAACAAGTGGTGATGTCATTACTTAGTACTGAGGGGCCCATAAAGGTGTACATTCAGAATATAGGCTGGAGTACATAGTACTGACAATGATTTCTTGCTCCTACCTCTTTAAGACTGAATGCTGTGGATTAGCATTTTTTTTTTTCCAACGAACTGGCCATATCCCACTGAAGCAGGTGGAATATGGCCAGTGCAAGTAATTTCAATTTGTAGTTGCTAATTCACTTATTTTATTGTTGCCTTCCTGCTGCGGAACCTCTTTGTGTGTGTTTACTGTGAGAGATAATATAAATGGCTTTAATTTTTAAGTTCTCCAAATTTGATCATAGGTACTGGTATTGATAGTTACGTAGTACACTATTTTTACAAAATGTGATTTGCAGAGGGTGAAATTGGCGTTAGTATTAACTTTATTTACATATACTTCACTTAAACTACATAACCTATTAGTAGTAGTGGTTATATAAGTGAAATGTGATAATTTTGTGATGAGCTAATTATATTTTTGTGGAATTATGGGAGAAATTAATATATGTAAGGTTTCACTATTGGTAAATTATAGTATATATGTATAGTATACATCTGTATTGCAATAGAGTATATACTGTAATAAAGTATACAGTACCTTGTGTAGTTTTATGTATGTATACTTCGTGTATAGTGCAGTATATACATGATTATAAATGTGGGGGTGCTGTATGACCCCTATAGGTTTAGTGCTCCCTCATGAATATAATTTTTTTTCCTTTTTTTTTTTTTTTTTTTCTTTTTCTCTTCCAACAAACTGGCCTTATCCCACCAAGGCAGAAAAATGAAAGTTTCTCATTTTAAATTTAGTAATGTATACAGGAGAAGGGGTTACTAGTCCCTTGCTTCTGGCATTTTAGTCGCCTCTTACGACATGCATGGCTTACAGAGGAAGAATTCTGTTCCACTTGCCCACAGAGTTTCACTTCCCCATAATAATAATCAAATTAAGCACTAAACCCAAAAGGGTCATACAGTGTGAGTGTGTGTGTAGCACCTGTCTATGCATGTCAGGTATTACTTGTAACAATACATTTGCCATTCATATATACAGAAATGTATAGAGTTTATGTAACTGGTACTCTTATTATTGGACAATAAATTTTTAAGATTATTATATTATGTAATTAATTAATATAATTAGTTAACACCCTTGAAGGAGTCACTATGGTACCGTGCTTTTAATTATAAAGAAAATATTGATTCAGTGGTCCATGGCTTAGTTGGCAATGCTCTCGCCTCACACACCAAGTGTCCATGGGTCAATCCCTGGCTGGTTAGAAACATTGGGTGTGTGTCCCTACACCTGCTGTCCCTCTTCACTTAGCAGTTAAGTAGGTACCTGGGTGTTAGTTGACTGGTATGGGTGGTATCCTGAGGGACAGGATTGAAGGACCACAATAGAAATAAGATAAACAGTCCTTGATGACACACTAACTTTCTTGGGTTATCCTGGGTGGCTAACTCTCTCTACCTGGGTTATCTTGGGTGGCTAACCCTCTCTGCCTGGGTTATCCTGGGTGGCTAACCCTCACTAACTGGGTTATCCTTGGTGGCTAACCCTCCCTACCTGGGTTATCCTGGGTGGCTAACCTTCGCTATCTGGGTTATCCTGGGGGCTAACCCTCCCCTGGGTTAAAAATCTGAACAAATGTTATCTTACTGCCTAAGGTTCTTCAAGGTAAAAAAAAAAATAGGGATTTTGATTTTGAATGGCATATTATACACTGGTTCTAAAGAAAATTATTTTTACAGAACTCTTAAAGAAGGTTACTCAAGATTGGTGGTAGGCTCTTGATCCAAGGAATTGGAATTTTCCTTCCTTGGATAGAATACGATTGCTTGCCATTCCCCAGGTACAGCATGACCCCTACAGATTTTTGCACCTCCTAGTAAATTATTAACACTGGCTGTCTCCCAGGGTGATGAGACCCCCAAAGGCACACAGATATAACAGTTTGGATATCACTCCTAGTAAATGTGGGAAGAGTAGTGCCTGAATTCTGAGGTATCAATGGGGATGTTGTAGTTGGAAGGTAATTTGTGATGTCAGCCAACTTAAAAACAACGATTGAATAAATGATGACATAACTTAGCTGGACTTGAGTCCTGGAGGTGGAAAGTACAGTGCCTGCACTTTAAAGGAAGGGTTTGGGATATTGGCTGTTTGGAGTGACATCTAAACTGTCATATCTAGGCACCTCTGCAAAGACAGTAATTATGTGTGAATGATAGTGAAAAGTTTCTTTTTTTGGGTCACCCTGCCTCAGTGGGAGACGACTGACATGTTGGAAAAAACTAAGCGGGTCATTCTGTATGACCAATAAGGGTCATACAGAATGATGACAAAATGAGTTTTGTTCTTTGGGTC